TTACTCAACTACAGTACAATATAAAGTACTTTACTCAACTACAGTACAATATAAAGTACTTTACTCAAATACAGTACAATATAAAGTACTTTACTCAACTACAGTACAATATAAAGTACTTTACTCAACTACAGTACTCTAGTACAATATAAAGTACTTTACTCAACTACAGTACAGTATAAAGTACTTTTACTCAACTACAGTACAGTATAAAGTACTTTTACTCAACTACAGTACAGTATAAAGTACTTTTACTCAACTACAGTACAGTATAAAGTACTTTACTCAACTACAGTACAATATAAAGTACTTTACTCAACTACAGTACAATATAAAGTACTTTTACTCAACTACAGTGCAATATAAAGTACTTTACTCAACTACAGTACAATATAAAGTACTTTTACTCAACTACAGTACAGTATAAAGTACTTTACTCAACTACAGTACAATATAAAGTACTTTACTCAACTACAGTACAATATAAAGTACTTTTACTCAAATACAGTACAGTATAAAGTACTTTTACTCAACTACAGTACAATATAAAGTACTTTAACTCAAATACAGTACAGTATAAAGTACCTTTACTCAACTACAGTACAGTATTAAGTACTTTTACTCAACTACAGTACAATATGAAGTACTTTTTTCAACTACAGTACAATATAAAGTACTTTTTACTCAAATACAGTAAAATATAAAGTACTTTACTCAACTACAGTACAATATAAAGTACTTTACTCAACTACAGTACTCTAGTACAATATAAAGTACTTTACTCAACTACAGTACAATATAAAGTACTTTACTCAACTACAGTACAATATAAAGTACTTTACTCAACTACAGTACAGTATAAAGTACTTTACTCAAATTCAGTAAAATATAAAGTACTTTACTCAACTACAGTACTATATAAAGTACTTTTACTCGACTACAGTAAAATATAAAGTACTTTACTCAACTACAGTACAATATAAAGTACTTTTACTCGACTACACTACTATATAAAGTACTTTATTCAACTACAGTACAATATAAAGTACTTTAGTCAACTACTGTACAATATAAAGTACTTTACTCAACTACAGTACAATATAAAGTACTTTTACTCAACTACAGTACTATATAAAGTACTTTACTCAACTACAGTACTCTAGTACAATATAAAGTACTTTACTCAACTACAGTACAGTATTAAGTACTTTTACTCAACTACAGTACAATATAAAGTACTTTTACTCGACTACACTACTATATAAAGTACTTTAGTCAACTACTGTACAATATAAAGTACTTTACTCAACTACAGTACTATATAAAGTACTTTACTCAAATACAGTACAATATAAAGTACTTTTACTCAACTACAGTACAATATAAAGTACTTTTACTCGACTACACTACTATATAAAGTACTTTACTCAACTACAGTACAATATAAAGTACTTTACTCAACTACAGTACAATATAAAGTACTTTTACTCAACTCCAGTACAATATAAAGTACTTTACTCAACTACAGTACAATATAAAGTACTTTACTCGACTACAGTACTCTAGTACAATATAAAGTACTTTACTCAAATACAGTACAATATAAAGTACTTTACTCAACTACAGTACAATATAAAGTACTTTTACTCAACTACAGTACAATATAAAGTACTTTACTCAACTACAGTACAATATAAAGTACTTTCCTCAACTACAGTACTCTAGTACAATATAAAGTACTTTACTCAACTACAGTAAAATATAAAGTACTTTACTCAACTACAGTACTCTAGTACAATATAAAGTACTTGACTCAACTACAGTAAAATATAAAGTACTTTACTCAACTACAGTACAATATAATGTACTTTACTCAACTACAGTACAATATAAAGTACTTTATTCAACTACAGTACAATATAAAGTACTTTATTCAACTACAGTACAATATAAAGTACTTTTACTCAACTACAGTACAATATAAAGTACCTTTACTCAACTACAGTACAATATAAAGTACTTTTACTCAACTACAGTACAATATAAAGTACTTTATTCAAATACAGTACAATATAAAGTACTTTACTCAACTACAGTACTCTAGTACAATATAAAGTACTTTCACTCAACTACATACAATATAAAGTACATTATTTTACTACAGTACAATATAAAGTACTTTATTCAACTACAGTACTCTAGTACAATATAAAGTACTTTACTCAACTACAGTACTCTAGTACAATATAAAGTACTTGACTCAACTACAGTAAAATATAAAGTACTTTACTCAACTACAGTACAATATAATGTACTTTACTCAACTACAGTACAATATAAAGTACTTTATTCAACTACAGTACAATATAAAGTACTTTATTCAACTACAGTACAATATAAAGTACTTTTACTCAACTACAGTACAATATAAAGTACCTTTACTCAACTACAGTACAATATAAAGTACTTTACTCAACTACAGTACAATATAAAGTACTTTTACTCAACTACAGTACAATATAAAGTACTTTATTCAAATACAGTACAATATAAAGTACTTTACTCAACTACAGTACAATATAAAGTACTTTACTCAACTACAGTACTCTAGTACAATATAAAGTACTTTCACTCAACTACATACAATATAAAGTACATTATTTTACTACAGTACAATATAAAGTACTTTATTCAAATACAGTACTATAGTACAACTCCTTATAATACCCATCAGTACCACCATGAGCAGAACCAGAAGAACCTGACCCTGTCCTTGAGTCTTTGCTTTAAACCAGGAAGGATTCTGGTTCCCACTAACTGAGGCAGGATCCTGTCTATGTCCCTGTCCCTGCTCCTGGTCCTGGTCCTGTCCCTGTCCCTGCTCCTGGTCCTGATTGCTGTGTTTGGAGCTCAGCAGACTGTCAGTGCTGCCCCCTGCTGGACAGTCTGAACACTGATTCTCTGATGATCTGGACTCTGATACTGAGCTGGTCTGAACCTGATCCAGGACCAACTCCCGCAACACATCATTAATGAATGTCTGAAACATTGCATAGTCCAAAAGGCATGACCAAATACTCATAATGTCCAGTTGGGGTGTTAAATCCTGTCTTCCACTCATCCTCCTTCCCTGATTCTGATGAGATGGTAAGTGTTTCTAAGATCTAGTTTAGTGAAAACTGTGGCTTTTTTTTGGAGCAGTTCAAAAGCAAATGTGATCAATGGGAGAGGGTACCGGTTCTTAACTGTTATGTCATTTAAGGGACTGTAGTCTTCTTTCATTTACGTAATATTAGAAAAATTAGACACATCCTATCACAGACAGATGCAGAAAAACTAATCCATGCATTTGTTACTTCAAGGCTGGATTACTGCAACTCTTTATTATCAGGTTGCCCCAATAAGTCCATTAAAACGCTCCAATTAATTCAGAACGCTGCAGCACGAGTACTGACAGGAACTAGAAAAAGAGATCACATCTCTCCTGTACTAGCTTCTCTGCATTGGCTCCCTGTAAAATGTAGAATAGAATTTAAAATCCTCCTCCTCACCTATAAAGCTCTTCATGGTCAGGCCCCTTCATATCTTAAAGAGCTCATAGTACCCTATTACCCCACTAGAACACTACGTTCTCTGAATGCTGGGCTACTTGTGGTTCCTATAGTCTCTAAAAGTAGAACAGGAGCCAGAGCCTTCAGTTACCAAGCTCCTCTCTTGTGGAACCAGCTTCCAGTTGTGGTTCGGGAGGCAGACACCCTCACCACATTCAAGAGTAGGCTTAAGACATTCCTCTTTGATAAAGCTTATAGTTAGGGCTGGATCAGGTGAGTCCTGAACCATCCCTTAGTTATGCTGCTATAGGCCTAGACTATCGGGGGATTTCCCATGGTGCACTGAGCTCCTCTCTTCCTCCCTCTTTCTGCACTCATTCATGTTCCATTAATGCATGTTACTAACTTCACTTCTTCCCCGGAGTTCTTGTGCTTTCTCGTCTCGCAGGTTCTTATCGATCCTGGTGGAGCCTCCTGCCATGGTCCTGCTAGATTGCCATTATCACTGATATTACTGTTATTATTATAGCTACAGTTACTGCTCATTGTCGCTGTTGTCATGTTCATCATCTCTCTTGCTCTCTCGCTCTCTCGTAAGTTTTGATAAAACTATTCTCTTTTTTTTCGGTGTGAGTGTGTTTATGAGTTATTACTTTATTATTTTCTGTTGAAAGGGCTGTTTGTTTGTGTGTGTGTGTGTGTGTGTGTGTGTGTGTGTGTGTGTGTGTGTGTGTGTGTTTTGTTTGTGTGTGTGTGTGTGTGTGTGTGTGTGTAATTGTTTGTGAGGGCAGCGTGCTCTGTGTGGCACAATGCCGGTGGCGGAGGCTGTACCCGCAGAGTTTGAGAAGCTGACTCGCAGACATGCGATCAAGCTGTTCCTCGCGGTGCAGTGTTCGGTGGAGGAAGTCGGGCTGGCTGTGGGAGAGGTGGTCGGGTATGACTGTGTGAGGTCTGCCTCACGCATGAACGGGGCCATTGTATTGTTTTTAGACAGTACGGCTAAGGTTGCCGAGGTGGTGGAGAGGGGAGTGGTTATCAAAGACACTTTCTCTCCCCTCTCGTTAACCCAGCCACAAAGATCATGATTTCTAACGCTCCCCCGTTCATAAAAAATGAATTGCTGGGGAAGGAGCTGTCTAGATACGGACAACTTGTGTCACCAATTAGGATGGTTTCTCTGGGGTGTAAATCTCCTAAATTAAAGCATGTCGTGTGTCACAGAAGACAGGTGTATATGATCCTGAAAGAGAGAACAACTGATCTGAGCCTGTCTTTCTCATTTAAAGTTGACGGTTTTAATGATGTGGTTTTCGTTTCCTCAGAGACTATGAAATGTTTTGGTTGTGGTGCAGAGGGGCACCTGATCCGCTCCTGCCCGAGGGGTTGTGGAGCGCGGTGGGCTGCTGTGGGGGGGGATCCACCCGTTGCTGCTGCGGTGGCTCCGGGGGGGGGGATCCACCTGCGGATGCTGCCCCTGCCCCGGTTACCGTGTGGGGCACTCTGGTCAGGTCTAGCTTCATGAACATCACACAGATGGACGCCCCCTCTCGCTTCTTCTTTGGGCTGGAGCGGAAAATTGGACAAAGGAAGACCATTCATTCTTTACGAACGGGTAGCGGCTCCGAAGTCTCAGACTCATCTGAGATCAGGAAGTATGCTGCCGAGTTTTACAGAAACCTGTTTAAGAATGAGTGGACACATAATCCAGATGTGCACAGCAGCTTCCTCAGCGGTCTCCCTCAGGTCAGCGAGGCTGACAACAGCGAGCTGGCAGCAGAGGTGACGCTGCAGGAGCTCCACACTGCCACAATGAGCCTACAGAGCGGCAGAGCTCCAGGCATGGACGGCCTTCCTGCTGACTTTTACAAGTGTTTCTGGTGTGGCGGCGGGGAGGCTCTCAATGTGAATCTGAGGTTGCTCGACAACGCCACCTTGGGAATTGCACCCAAGGAAGAATTATCATCATCGTCATCATCATCATCATCTTACATTGATCAAAAAAACAGGTTTGTTCCACTCAACAGACAAGACACGTGGTTCCCAGTTTACAAAAATACTTTAATCAAATATATATTATCACAAAATTTAGCATTCATCCCAAATAATAAACAAGGAGCCTAATCAGGGGCTGAGGCCTACTGGTGGGGAAAGAGCAGGTGAAGAGGAAGGGGACTCAACAACACTAAATTAAAGGAAAAGGGTTCACCCAGACACACGTGGCAGTCACACACTGTGGTATCACCAAATCCAAGCAAGCACAGCACACAAGAAGGAGAGACACCACCACCCACGTCACCAGCACCACCACCAACCTGCAGCCACTGAGAAGAAAACAAAAAAAAAAGAATTTTACAACGGAAATAATTAACCCAAAATGTACAACACAATACACACCATAAAGCATGAAATAATTCACAAAATAAACTTAACAAAACAATTCACTTAATCAAAACAAGTAATACTAAACTAAGGGATTAACTCCTCACAATCATTCGGCTAATATTAAAGGGATAAACAGGTTAAAAGTGTGGTGTCGGCAGTCCACTGTGGTAGCCGGCTGTAGCCAAAAGCCAACAACAGCAGCACCACCACCAAGCAGCACAGAGCAGCAAGGAATAAGTGGCTGCCGGAGACAACGTCGTATATAGCAGCAGAGACAAACTGTAATTAGCAGCAGTGGCCCCAATCAGCTGGTAAATCGCCACCTGTAGATTTCGGCCAGCTGATGAGCGTTCCCTGTCAATAAACATAAAATTAGTATGGCTGAGCTAGATTTATCAAAGATTTTGGGGGCCAGATTTAAGGTAGCATACCTGTTTTCAAAGTCAAACCTGCACAGGGAGAGGGAGGGAGGGAGAGGAAGGGAGGGAGAGGGAGGGAGAGAGAGGGAGAGAGAAACCCACACGGCAGCGGACATCTACCTATGACCACACTAGCATTAGCTACAGGATAGCATTCAGTGTAACACAGAGAGAGAGGACACTTACTGCTCGAGAGAGCCAGCGACTAAACGGAGCACGGAGCACGCAGTCGCTGCTCTGCAATGAAAACACAGTGGCTTTAAGCATGAGGACACAGTGATAAATAAAATGAAGCAGTAGCCACAGCAAGGTCTGCGGAGCATTACCTGCACGGGCAAACACCTGACCCGGAAATGATGCATCAGTGAGAGTGCGAGAAGGAGGGCCGTACTTATGTACTGCCGCCCTAGTGGTCAGCTGACGCAATTGACTGCAGCAAGGCAACCCTATTTCTATGCAGCTACACTGGTCCATAATAGGACCAGATCTGCTAAAGGTGATCAATGAAAGCCTAAAGACCGGCAGACTGCCTCTGAGCTGCAGGAGGGCCGCAATAACCCTGCTGCCTAAAAAGGGAGACCTGCAGGAACTGAAAAACTGGAGGCCGGTCTCATTGCTGTGCACAGATTATAAGATCCTGTCCAAAGCTCTGGCCCTTAGACTGAGAGAGGTGATGGCGTCCATCATCCCTCCTGACCAGACCTACTGTGTGCCCGGCAGGCTCATCAGTGACAACGTCACTTTAATTCGAGACGTTTTGGAGCTCTCCAGTTCATTGGGCATAGAGACTGGTCTGATTTCAATAGACCAAGAAAAGGCTTTTGACCGGGTTGAACACCAGTACCTGTGGCAGACTCTGGCTGCTTTTGGGTTCAACCCTGGTTTCATAGCCATGGTCCGGGTTCTCTATAGTGATATCGCGAGTGTTCTGAAAATTAACGGCGGGCTGAGCGCACCATTTGGGGTCCAGAGAGGGGTAAGGCAGGGCTGCTCTCTCTCTGGGATGTTATATTCGGTAGCCATCGAGCCTCTGCTCCACAAACTTAGAGCTAAACTTACTGGTGTGTGTTTCCCCCAGTGTCCCGTATCTTTTAAACTGTCTGTGTACGCGGATGATCTCATGGTTTTAGTTAATTCACAACGAGATATTGACATTTTAACTGGCACTGTGAAAGACTTTGGTTTTATTTCATCTGCTAGAGTGAACTGGGGGAAAAGCGAGGCTCTGATGGTGGGAGGGGAGCTGGGGGGGCGGCTCGGGCTGCCCGGTGGCCTACAGTGGAAAAAAGGAGGATTCAGATACCTTGGAGTCTTCCTGGGGGATGAGACCAACAAAAATAAAAACTGGGACAATGTCCTGGAGCAGGTAAAAGGTCGGCTGGGGAAGTGGAGGTGGCTACTCCAAAAAAATGTCGTACAGAGGCTGAACTTTAATAGCCAATAACCTGGTCTCATCCTCCTTGTGGCACCGGCTGGCCTGTGTCGATCCTCCGGTTCCTCTCCTGTCTAAAATTCGGTTTTAGTTGATTTTATTTGGGACAAGTTGCACTGGGTCCCACAGAGTGTCCTGTTTTTACCTAAAGAGGAGGGGGGGCAAGGCCTGGTCCATCTGGCCAGCAGGGTCGCGGCTTTCCGCCTCCAGTTTATCCAAAGACTACTGACCGGACCAAAGGACATTCTGTGGAGACCCCTGTCCCGCTGCATTCTGCAGGGTTTTAACGGCCTGGGTCATGATTTTAATTTGTTTTTAATGAACATACCGAACATGAGCACATCTACCCTGCCTGCTTTTTATAAAAGTGTTTTTAGAGTGTGGAACCTGCTGAGGAAAGAGAGGAGGGGGCAGGTGGACTCCCTGTACTGGATCCTCCAAGAGCCGGTCCTGTGGGGGACCCGTCTGGACCTTCCCAGCTGGGCAGGTCAGGGTCTGGCCACGAGACTGCAGACTGCCGGCACTGACTGGACCCCGGATGGATGACCCCTCTGGACTCGCTGCCCCGCTGGGACTGACGTCAGTGAGGGTCACGCAAAAGCTCTTAGAACACTAGAAACAGAGACTCACAGGACACGACTGCTTGCTTTTAAACTCCTCTTTTAATCAAACAGTGACTGATGATCCTTTTCCTGCCATTTCCCTGGCACCGGATTTTAAAGACTGCTCTGGGATTTTAATGGAATGTACACACCTCGCACCACTGGATGGTACCACAGGGAAAACTTTTTACAAAATATTGGTGAAAGCAATTAACAGAACAAAACTAAACAAGAGACCTGACACTCCATGGAGGAGATATCTGCAGCTGGCTCCTGCAGCCAGACCTGAGTGGAGGTCCTTTTACAAACCTCCACTCTCCAAAAGACACGCAGACATTCACTGGAGAGTCCTCCATGGGGTCATAGCAGTGAACTCCTTTGTGTCCACCATAAACCCGGCAGTAGAGGATAAGTGTCCCTACTGCGACCAAAGAGAGACTGTGTTTCACTGTTTTTATGAGTGTCTTCGTCTTTTACCCTTGTTTCTGTTTTTACAAACTGTTTTTACCAAATGTGGAGAGGTTTTTACCAAGCAGTTTTTTATTCTGTGTTTTAAATACACACGCCAACACAAGAACAAATGCCAGCTTTTAAACTTTGTTTTAGGGCAGGCTAAGATGGCGGTGTATTTTAGCCGGAGGAGGAAGGTGGATTGTTGAACCTGTCAGTGTGTATCAATATGATGAAGTCCAGACTCCTCATTGATTTTAGCTATTACAAAGCAGCAGGAGATCTGGACTCGTTCCAGCAGGTTTGGTGTTTTAATCAGGTGTGAATACGAAAAAAGATTTCAACATGGATACCATGTATTTTTTTTGTCATTTCATGACAACAGAAGTTAAAGCCACGGGTCTATAATCATTGATTTCTGTAGGACAGGGTTTCTTTGGAATGGGAATAGTGGTAGATTTTTTCCAAGGGGCAGGAACCAAATGAGAATCTGCAGACCTCTGAAACACAGGGCACCACGCTGGGGTTAGCTTTGCTGCAAAGGTCTTTAGGAGAAAAGCAGAGATGCCATCAGGGCCTGCAGATTTCTTTTTGCATACATGGCTGAAAAGGCTGGAAACATGGCTGATTTTGAGGGGATCAACTACTAACCTTGAACAGGGGTCAGCAGTTGTAATTGACTGTAGTACATTATTGCATTCCAAAGAGTAGTCCTGTGTGGTTAAAATCTCCAAGAATAAAGACCGGGGCTCCCGGAGTGCGTTGCAGTTGATTGTGGACACAGTCTGCAACACGAGCTGCAGCTCGGGCCGCATTGCCACAAGGGGGGCACATACGCTGAGCAATATTGCCAAACTCCCTCGGGAGGTAAAAGGGTCTTAGAGAAATGCACAGCAGTTCAATATCAGGGCTGCACAGCAGTTCAATATCAGGGCTGCACACAGTCTCTGTCACAGAATAGTTCCTGCACCAGCGGTCACTCACAAACATGCAGATACCTCCCCCTTGATTCTTCCTCAAAGTTTCATCCCTGTCTGCACGGACAAGGGAGAAACCCTCCAGCTCGATCAGGGAGTTGGGGATGTCTTTGTGGAGCCAAGTCTCAGTAAATACCAGCAATCCCGCCTCGCGGTATACAAAACATACCCTCATGTTGGTACGGAGCTCCTCCAGCTTGCTCTTAAGAGAGCGAACGTTGCTCAGGATCATGCCGGGCAGCGGAGGTCTACTGCCTCTTTTGACACATCCTCAGAAGCTCCCAAACAATCAGGGCCAGTAATAGTCCTTATGCAAATAACGCCATGGTGCTCCTCGGTACCCTCGTACACACACAATCAATAAAAAACCACAGTAAAACGAGTAAGAACAACAAATAAATTGAAAACAGCAGCAGCACCAGCAGAGCAGGGCCATCGGAAGTCAAGACTACTTAATATTGAGGTTGGGTTGAGCTTGAAGTGCACATCGCACTGAACTTGGTTTACTGAACAAGACAAACTGACAAAGACAAAGGTTGACAAGGACTATTTATACCATGTGTAAGTGAGAACAGGTGAAAGCAATCAACAAAGGTGGGAAAGTCACACAAAGGGAGGAAGTCAGGATTTGAATAGTGAGGGAAAAGGTGAGTACAAAATAAAACAGGAAGGACTAAACATGAAACACTTAACATGACCAGATTTAACATACTTGACGACAATAGGTGAGTCCAACCAAGCAAAACACACCTGTTGAGCTTTTATTTTTTTAAATAAAATGATAATCCATGATAACACTGACAGTCAGAGATCAATAAGTGCTCACTCATATAGTTTCACCTGTTGTACAGGTCTGCTTACAAATCTTTGACCATATATGGGCGTGGACGCTGTATGTGGGCGTCGGCTTCATCTGTATGTGGGCGTCGGCTTCATCTGTGGTCTCCTCCAACAGACGGTGGAGAATCAAACAGGATAAATAATTATCACAAATCAATACCCAACTTAAAGAAACTGATCACATCAAACATCATTCCTGTCAAATACATCAATCAATCATCAATACATCAGTTTAATCAAAAATATTGATCACATGGAAACAAACATATCCACATATTCAGTCACTATGGTAACCAGCACAGTCGATGATGTCATAAATCAATACATGGATTAGCATGCAGCAGGAGGCGGGGTCAGGCCACCTCACAGGTTGTCATGGTTACTGGCTTAGGGCCTGTCATCACGAATACGGGGCATCACCCAATACGATGTCGTTTCGAAAAACATCTCCGTAAACACGGTGTCGTTTCCAGAAATATCTGCGTCCACACGGATTCACTGAATATGAACCAAAGCGCTGTAGTACGACTCCGGGCAATCCGGCGTTTTCGGATTTTCCCACTCTGGGACCCGTTAATACTGTTTTCCCCCCCGAAAACGCCGTATCCGTCTGGACGTGAGGCCGATACGATAAAGTATTTATCCGGATTTGAGAAAAACGTATTCGTGAGGACAGGCCCTTAGACTGACCTGTGACCTGAGCAGAAACAAACACAAACATTAAAAATGGCCGTCATCGCCCTTTAACCTGTCTGCAGGAAGCCCCGCCCCCTGTTGGCTGGCTTCCACTGATGCTACGCTATGCTAACTAAATCTACCCACAATTCATTGTTCCAGTGCAACAGCTCAGCTAACTAATAACTATGGATTAGAGTGAACCAGTGCCGCTAACATGCTAACAACTAGCCTAGCATGGTTTATTAGACACTAGAGGCTTCAGCTAACGGCTAACGAGCAGCTGATTGGTTCAGATTGTCGTGGAAAGATCCCTGATAACACTCGATATGTTGATTCAATAGAAATAAGATCAGAAACCTCTGGAATCTGTCAGCAGCTGTGGACGTGACTTCACATTTATAAGAAAGAGAAAAATATCAGTCGACTACAATCTGTGCAGTTTCTGTATAAATGAGTTCACAGCACTCGGTACAGAGAGCTTGTTACTCAGTGGAGCATTAGAGCCAACGTAAAGAAAACTAGAGCTCAGACCTTTAAAGCCAGAAGTTTACAAGAACATCTGTGAAAAGACATTGTGTTTGAAATATAAAGGAATAATTTTACAAGTAAACGTAATAACGTAATAAATAAAATAACTAATATTTAAAAGATACAAAAAAAAAAGAACAGTAACAGAAACACAACTGTTAGTTTGTTCTGATCTCAGCACTATGACTCCGCCCACAGCTGGTCAGCTTCCTATTGGCCAGAGCTCCTGATTGTCATAATCAAAGTATTGATCAGTTATTGGAGGTTTTATTGCTCTCACAGTGACCACAGTGTTCACTCTGCTGGTTTCAATAAAGCTAGTGTCATTCAAATTCAGTGCTTCTCAATAAAGTTTGATTCGAATGTAGGCTACAGTAATAAAGTTTATTTTAAAAAGCTCCATCTCTGTTTAGAGCAGCTAGCAGAGCTAACAGGCTAACTGTAGCTCCGACTGGAAGACATCATCATCATCATCATCATCATCATCATCGTCGTCTTTTCAACCTCTGACCTGTGACCCTGAGATTAATGTTACTATGACAGCCATCCCATCAATACGACGTTGTGATGCTAAAATCTACAATAATCTGACTCCATCATCGTCATTGTCACAGTAGTGCAATAAAAGTGTGTGTGTTATAAATGTGTGTGTGTGTCAGTGTTCGTTGGGCATGTGTCTGATGGTGTGGAAGATCCAGTCCATCTTGGTGCTCCAGCCTCCATGATGAGCGTCGTTCATCTGTTTGGTGAAATACTCCAGCGCCTCCTGCTGACTCTTCTCTGACAGACAGACAGACAGATACAGAAGGATGTGAGACATATTCTGAGACTGATCATTTCTGCTGATCAATAAGATCAAAAAAGTAATTGTTTTTATTATTTAGGGTTAATTTTCGTTTTTCTTGTTTTGTATTTAAGTCATTAAGTCATTTTTCATACATTTGTTACAAGTAATTTTTTTGCCTTTTATTGCCTTGATGATAGTGACAGCTGAAGACAGACAGGAAAAGGGGTGCAGAAAGAGAGGGGATGACACGCAACAAAGGGCCGCAGGTCGGATCCGAACCCTGGGCCGCTGCAGGAAGGACTCAACCTTAGTACCTGTGGTGCCAGCTCTACCCACTGAGCTTAAATTTTGATTAATTTCTACTCTCATTTCGTTGTTAATAAAAGAGCCAACAAATGTTTTCTCATGTTTTTCTGTACGTTATTTGTTACAGCCTGTAACAGTGTTTTACAGCCTGTAACAGCCTGTAACAGTGTTTTACAGCCTGTAACAGCCTGTAACAGTGTGTAGCAGTGTTTTACAGCCTGTAACAGTGTGTAACAGCCTGTAACAGTGTGTATTTACAGCCTGTAACAGTCTGTAACAGCCTGTAACAGTGTGTAACAGCCAAGCAGAGAGCAGATTATGAGTGCTACATGAGGTATGAGGGAGAGTTCAGTTAAAGAACCCCAAATAACCCCTGAAAATACACCAAGTACAGTTCTATGTTTGTCTGAGCGTCTTTCTGTTTCCTTTATTTACTGTATTTTGTCTTTAAAAAAGGAAAACGTTTGCATTGCGTTTCTTTACTTTAAATCTCGTCTGACTCACTGACTTTCTGTCTGGTGACAAACTGTTGATCTAATGTGAAATTCTATCATTTTAACATTTTATTTTGAAAATGTACTGCATTCTCTGTTTCTGTGTCTGACTTCCTGCCAGTGTGATCTGCTGACGCAATAGTCCAGCTGTGTATTCTACACTGAGAGAGCTGCTGTCTCTCTCTCTCCACCTGTCTGTCTTACCCAGGGCCAGGGTTTTCCTCAGGTAGGCGATGTCGTCGAAGCTCTGCAGTTCGGGCATGCCGCAGCCGAGCAGGAGGGAGAACAAGTTGATGAAGAGGCTGGCATGCTGGCGGATGGCCAGGTAGGCTTTATAACACATCTCCTGGAACCTGACACACAGACAGGTAGACAGAGAGTGAGACAGGCACAATTTCAGACACGAGGACCAGCAATAGACAGGTGAGGTGCAGGTGAGACCTCTCGAACTCTTTGGTCTTGGTCGACTCCTGGACTCCTTTGCTGATGACGATGAGGAAGTCCTGAGTCAGAACGAAGGGAACTCGCTCCCTCTTGTACCCGAACTTCTTCTTCTTGTGATCCAGGAAATGACCAAAGTCAATGTGGAAGAGCTGGAGGAAGAGGAGGAAGAGGGGGAAGAGGAGGAAGAGCAGGAAGAGGAGGAAGAGGAAAGCTGATCAGTGAGCATGAATCCAAACAATCCACTCCCCCTGATGATTCTCTACTGAGCATGCTCAGTAGCGAACCAGAGAACCTCCATAGGGCGAGCTGCTAACTTCCTGTTTAACCCTTCGTTAACTCCAATCTTTAACTTTACAAATGTTACTGTGCATCACCTGACGCACGCCATCGCTATAACTACAAGGTTGGGCCACTATGTCATGTTGGTGTGAAAGCCCGGCGCTCCTCCTGTGGAGCTGGTTCAGACAGACCTGGTTCAGACAGACCTGGTTCAGACAGACCAGGATCAGGATCTGTGGAGGACCAGCTCACCTGCCCGTTCTCCTTCACCATGATGTTGGAGTTGTGTCGGTCTCCGATTCCCAGAATGAACGTCGCTACGCAGTAACCTGCACACGACCTGGTGAACAGGTCGATGGCGCGGTCATACCTGAGACACAGACAGGGAGTCAGATAGACATGCAGCCAGACAGACAGATAGACAGTCAGACAGATAGACAGTCAGATAGACAGACAGGTACTGACCCCTCCCCTCTGTTCTTGTCTTTGATCCAGTGGTGCAGTGTGTTGGAGTTGAACTGCAGCGCCCCCTTCAGGCCTCCTTTACACTGAATCTGCATGATGGTGAAACTGTTCTTCACCACCTCGATCAGACCCACACAGTCACCGATGGACAGACAGCCGTACGGCAGCATGCTGGCGCGCGCGCGCACACACACACACACACACACACACACACACACACACAGTGAGCCAGTGTGTGATGATGTCACAGCAACATCACTGATGATGTCACAGGTTCTCACCGCAGGTCCAGGCCCTGGTTCTGCCAGATGTTCTCCATGATCTTAATGATCTGCAGAGTCAGCATGTCCTGACGCAGGTCTGCAACACAGACACACAGGTTACACACTACAATACCCACAATCCCCGGGCACGGTTAGCATTCTCCACTAAAACCAGAGGAGTGGTTAGCACTGAGCTAGCTACCGTCTCCATTCTTGAAGATGATCTCGTTGTTGGTGAAGAGCAGCTCGGACATGATGTCAGGATTCTCCCAGTTCAACCACAGGGGGCGCTTCGCCGACGACATGATCCTGCACTCCTCCAGCCTGGAGGCCACAAACAAACAAACTTTGCTTCAACTGATCATCAGGCAATTAGTCAGTCAGTTAACAGTCAGTAACAGTCAGTCAGTTACCTGAGGTTTCCCAGCTGGTGAACAGGGTTCAGAGGAGAGACGAATCCCTGCAGAGCCTCCATATAATCTGGACGAGACATGTGTTCAACCAGGAACTTCATCTGAGTCTGACAACCAATCACAGCACAGCAGCACATCACTATAATAATAATAATAATAATAATAATAATAATAATAATTTTTTAACAATGTTACAAAGTGCTGTACAAGGAAAGAAAATGCAGATAAAATGACAATAAGGAACATGAGCACAAAGAGAAGAGATGCAATCAGCCAATCACAGATATCGTTACAGTAACAGACAGAAGATTCAACAGATTATAAAAAAGAGTTTTTACTTTCTGAGTCTCGTCTTTCTTCTCTTGTTTCAGTGTGTCGGTCAGATTCACCAGCTTATCCATCGCCTCCACCTGTGCGCGCGCGCGCGCACACACACACACACACACACACACACACACACACACACACACACACACACACACACACACACACACACACACACACACACACACACACACACTATTCAGCCACTAGATGGCAGCAGTGCCACATTAATGAACACAGTCACACTGTCCGTTCAGGTGTTTCAGTTCTCACCTGTCTGTTCAGGTGTTTCAGGTACATGCCGCAGGCTCTGCAGAAAGCTTCCAGCAGCAGACCGAAGCGACGGGACACCGTCTTATTGTGCATCTCTGACCTGAGAACAGTTACAATTACAGAGATTATCTAAAATGAGTAAACTTTGTTACTTACGAGGAAGCAGATAAACCGTTTTTATCAACTGTTCCTTCAGGTCACGTTTCTCACTTGAGATGCCAGAAGAAGAAGTGTCCTATCCTCTGATTGGTCAGAGCTTTCTTGATCAGGAACCGAGCCAGAGGATTGTCCAGGTACATCTCATACTTTAACACCTGTGAACACACAGTTTAGATAGTTTCTATTTGTTTTACTGGCAGCACACGTAAAGACAAACTCAAACAGTGAGCCTAAAAAACACTGGAGATCAGTGAAATTAGATCATTATAGACCTTGTGCGGACGATGAAGAACAGGGCACAATGCTCCATGAATGTTCAGGTTATAATGACACAAATAGTACCAGGAGGTGTACCAGAGGGTGAGGATGTAACACACCTGTACGAGCTGCAGCAGGTACTGCGACAGCTTGTCGTCTGTCAGACCTTGTACCAGGCAGCGCAGAGCGAACTCTCTGACAATCGGATCAGGAAAGTTACAGTCCAACAACTCCAGAGCCGACTCTGGCTCCATCAGAGGCCACTCCTTCAGCAAACAGTACATCTGAGGAGGAGGAGGAGGAAGAGGAAGAGGAAGAGGAAGAAGAGGATGAAGAGGATGAAGAGGAAGATGAGGAAGAGGAAGAGGAAGAGGAAGACAAGGAGGGGGCGAGGAAGAAGATGAGGAGGAGCAGCAGGAGGAGACAGACCGGTCACTGATGAGATGAATAGAAATACATAATGAAAACTGACTGTAAGAATGAATTTTGTACCTGAGACACTTCGTCTCTGGAGTTCCATTTGACGGACAGAAGCAGTTTAGGAAGAGACTCTGGGATGTTCACACAGTAATGTCTGCAGAGACAGACAGGTACAGTTGAAAAGACAGGTAGAGACACAGACTCAAAGGTAGAATCACTTCAAGCCCATCTCTGCCCATGTTAAGTCCTGCTCCTCACATACATACATCCATATATTAAGTCCCGCCCCTCACATGTGTCTCTATGTTAAGCCTCGCCCCTCACCTGTGTCTCCAGAGGAAGTCCTTCTCCTGCTCAGAGAGCTCGTACAGAGGATCTCTGGAGCAGAGAGAACGAAGCTGCTCTGCATCACCTGCTGAAACACTGCTGTCACACGCCAGACGACTGCTCTGAGACAGAGAGACAGGTAGAGGGAGAGAGACAGGTGGGACAGACAAGGGAAAGGGAGAGGGGGACACAGGTAAGGAAGATGGAGAGAGTGACTGTCTGCAGAGGTCAGTATCTATCAAAAGTAGTCTAAGGAGTAGCTCTATATATAACCAGTCAGTGGCAGTAGTTGTAAATATTACCAGTCAGTAGCAGTAGCTGTATATATTACCAGTCCGTGGCAGTAGTTGTAGCCCAGCTCTCGGCTGATGGTCCAGTTGGCGTGTTCTTCTATCTGCTGCTCATCAGGAAATACGACGGTCTGATTAAACCAGGAGAACTCGAGCTCCACACAGGGAGTCTCCTACAGAGAGCAAGACAATCAATCATTTAATCAAACAAATCACTCCAATAGGTAGAGAGACAGAGAAGTAGACGAGGTCTTGTGAACCTTATTGGGATTTGAACCAGCAACTCCGATGGGATTGAGGAGGTCCTCAAGGCCGTGAGGGACTGGCCAAAGACTGAGAGCCACTTTACCCGAAACCAGAATGTCCGTGTAGTCAAACAGGTTAACGTTTCCCCAGGCCAGAGGACAGTGTTCCTGAAAACAGACAGGTGAGAGACAGACAGTTTGATTTATTCTTTCTCTAATTCCTTCACTATGTGTTTCCTTCCTTCCCTACCTCCTTGGCTCCTTTCCTTCCTTTCACAGAGCAGATAGACAGGCAGAGTCTGGCTGAGCGAGGGAGGTCAGCCAGGTAGATGTCATAGGTCAGCCACTCGTTCCACCTGGACACAGACAGGTAAGACAGAGGGACCGGTGCAACAATACAAAGAAGTAGACAGGTAGAGAAAGCCCAAATTTCCACCAGGCGCATCTTCAAATTCCACCGAGAGCGTTTCAGAATGTCTTCAGCATCTTGCCATACGTTGTTGACAATAAAAGGATGTAAAACATGTTGTTTTGAGGTGTTGTTTGTTTCTCTACCTCAAGTCTCCTCTTACTGACTCACTTCCTGTCTTGTGAATGAAACTTGTTCTGGAGTCTGCACGCGGTCTTTCAATTTGAAAACAGTATATTGAGTGTGTACATTCAGTGTGTATATTGTGTTACCTGGGGTTGGAGCAGGGGACTCTCTGTGTGTTGACGTTGTCACAAAGCGGCTCTCCACCATGATAAATACCTGTCCTCACATAGATCTACACACACACACATAGGTTGACAAACACATTTAAAGGGTTTTTGGAGGACTCTCAGCTAAACCCAAACATCCAGTCAACGTATTCCAAAAATTTGGAAGGGTAGAACCTTTTCATTTTCAAGAAAAGGAGGTCAGTTAGTTTTCCCTGTGTTTCCTGTCATTACCTGTGTGTCTCTGTGTGGTGGATGTGACATCACTCTCTCCTCTTCTGATTGCGCACACCTGAAGCCCATCCACTAATCCACCCTGCAGAATATCAACTGTGGTTGATCACCCACTCATCTCATTGAATCACCTCCAGTGGTAGTTTACGCGTTAGACCCCTAGAATTGTGTATTCTAGTTTCTCTGTCTTGTTAACTTTTTCTAACTTCAGTGGATTGAAGGTCATTGTCAGCCACACTCAAGCTTCACTTAATCACCTCTGCCTCCTACCACCACCATTACCCTTACATTGGACAATAAATTACTCATGTCATTCTTAAGTGGAAAGCGGTCGCAGTCATGGGTCTCCAAAGATTACTGTCCTAACTTAGAAAGCCTTTTAGGCCCTAATTAAGTCCATTTGGTGTCATAGTGTTGAGTATGTACAGAACATTTTTCTCTGGGTCATTATCTCTAGAAAATCATCTCCTCAAGTTGGCATTAAGACTGTCTCAATCCCACTGAATCTTAATGAAGATGGTCAACTGTGGTTCGCTTCAGGATATTTTTAACTCACTGCTGCTGTGGATTAACTCTGCCAGAGTGCATTTGATATTGACATTATTGTGATGATTTTTGGCCATTTTTGGGACTTGAATGTGGACAGCTGTGAGGCTGTGACTGATGATGTTTCACATGAACAGACATGAAGACAGGTTCAGGAAACCCAGAGACACAAACCTTGTCGATGTCTCTGATGTTGACGTTGACATAGGTGGCGCAGAGCAGTCGGACCCTCAGCAGAGTGTTGAAGGCCCACAGAGAGCGAGGAGGAGAACCATCACCTCCTCCTGGACAGGGAGACGGCTGAGGAGTCCGACGACTGAAATAGAAACACAAACATCCTCTACCTGGCTACAGTTCACCTGTACAAGCTCCTGATTGGCTGTGATATGAATAGCAGAGATGCTGATTGGCTGCTGTACCTGTATGAAGGTGTGACAAAGCCAGAGGCAGGTAGCTGAGAGTAGAGACTGTCTTTGGAGACCAGCATGAGGTGAGGAAGACGACCCACTATGATACAGGACCGGATATACTGCAGAGAGACAGGTGGAGGAGGGACAGGCAGACTCAGTGAGACAGGTAGATTCAGTGAGACAGGTTGTACTGAAAAGCTTGTTAATGAAGGATGGTGCCTTCAGAGGAAGTTGTTACCTTGTACTGACTGAGAGGATACTTCTCCAAAAGGTACTCATCACAGCCACACACCTGAGACAGGTAGACAGACACCTGAGTCAGACAGACAGGTAGACAGACAGCTGAGTCAGACAGACAGACAGACAGGTGTACCTTCAGGATGTACTGTCCCTGGTACTCCTGGACACAAAGGCGGAGCTGTTGAGGTGAAAGGTGCATCGATCGACTTTTCTTCCTGATGGACTCTGCTATCAGCTGCTCAGGTAAACTGTCATGACTCACCTGTACACAAACACACAAACATGGATGCCAAGAGTCAGCTGTTCATATACCAAAACAAACATGGACACCAAGAGTCAGCTGCTTGTCTATATGAAGAGATGTTTTTGCTGAAAAGGTCAAAAAAGGAGGAAAAAGCTACAAGTTTGGTGGGATCCTGGATGGAAAGATGTGTTGGACCGTAAACTCCACAGAGGGAACTGGACGTGAACGTCAGGTAAAGCTTCTAGATTATGTAGGACCTAGAATATCTGACATATTTTGGAAGGTGCTTCCCAGACCAAGGAATAAATGTTAAATGTTAAAGGAGAGGTTTTGCTGACTTGATCAGAGACTTCGATTCTTTACAAGAGGGACCTACTGAAACTCCAGCAAGTCCACAGAACCATCAGGACTGGACAGAGTCCGAGTCACACATCCTTTCATCACAGCTCACCTTCAGGGTGTATTTCTGTTTGGAGTTTGACGGAGACACGATCACCCAGATGGTCACAATCAACCTCCCTGCAGAAAGATAGGTACAGGGAGAGAGACCGGTACAGAGAGACGGGTAATAAGAGACAGGCAGAGAATTTGTTTTTCCCACTGATTCCCAGGATTCATTTTCCTTCAGACTGGACACATGGACTGTGAGACCGATTGAAGAATACCTTTGTCCAGTTTGCTGTAGATGTGTTGTGGGAGTTGGGGGCTGGATTCCACGTTGGGGGGATAAACGTAGAGTGCTTGACTGTGGGCCCCCCCTCCCTCCCTCTCCTCCATGGCCTCTCTGCACACGCTCAGTATGGAGCGCCGGAAGTCCTGAACCTCCGGGTCCTTCAACATCTCAAATTCACAGACCGGCATCCCGATAGCAAACCCTGCACACAGGGATGGATTCAGTATGTGGTCCTGGGTTGACTCTGCTTTGGTCCCAGTTTGACCTACTTTGGGGTTTTCAGCAGACGAATTCAATTCAATTTAATTCAATTTTATTTGTATAGCGCCAATTCATAACAGAAGTTATCTCAGGACACTTTTCAAATAGAGCAGGTCTAGACCGAACTCTTTAAAACATTAATTAATTACAGAGACCCAACAGTACCACCATGAGCAAGACCTTGGAGACAAGGGCAAGGAAAAACTGCCTGTTAAAAGGCAGAAACCTAGGACAGATCCTCCGGCTCTAGGTGGGTGGTCGTCTGTCTCGACCAGTTGGGGTGAGAGAGAGAGAGAGAGAGACAGAGAGAGAGAGAGAGAGAGAGACAGAGAGAGAGGCAGAGAGAGAGGCAGAGAGAGAGAGAGCGAGAGACAGACAGATAGGTGCACAGCAACAACAGTATTGGCAATGGCAATCTAGCAGGACCATGGCAGGAGGCTCCACCAGGATCGACAACAAATGCTGTGTGACAAGATGTTTGATTATTAAATAATATAAATCAGGTGAGGTATGTCGTGTTACCGATCTCGCGGTTCAGGATCTTCTCCTCCCGGTTGCCCAGTGGCTCGATGACCTTCAGGATCGGGTGAAACAGTCGCAGGTCACACAACCGCCTCGTCTCGTCGTAAAACTCCTCCCTCTCAGCCTCCTGGGTCACACCGACAAAGATGTAACAGGATTCCTCCTAGCCAATCAGAGAGCATGATTAGCAATGTTACTACGGTAACATTAAGGGTTAAAGGTCAAAGAGTGACCTACCTGCAGCAGGTGGTACAACGGGTATTTCCTGGCCTCAGTGAAGAGCTGCTGCTTGATGCTGATGAGAGGAGTTTCTCTGAGACACTCAAGACTGACCATCATCCCTGGAACACATGGAACCACAATGAGAGAACAATAAGAGAACAATGGAAGAACAATATGAGAACAATGGGAGAACAATGGAAGAACAACAAGAGAACAATGAGAGAACAATACGAGAACAATGAAAGAACAATACGAGAATAATGAGAGACAAATACGAGAATAATGAGAGAACAATATGAGAACAATGGGAGAATAATGAAAGAACGATGAGAGAACAATGGAAGAACAATGGAAGAACAACGAGAGAACAATGAGAACAAAAAAACAATGAGAGAGCATTGAAACAACAATGGAAGAACAATGAGAGAACAACGAGAGAATAATAAGAGAACAATAAGATAATAGGACAGAGTAGAATAAAGTAGAATCAATTAGAACAGAGTAGAATAAAGTAGAATAAAGTGGAACAGAGTCGAACAGAGTAGAATAAAGTAGAACATAGTAGAATAATGTAGAATAAAGTAGAACACAGTAGAATAATGTAGAATAAATTAGAACATAGTAGAATAAAGTAGAACACAATAGAATGAAGTAGAATAAAGTAGAACAGAGTATAATAGAGTAGAATAAAGTAGAATAAAGTAAAACAGAGTCGAATAAAGTAGAACAAAGTAGAACATAGTAGAATAATGTAGAATAAAGTAGAACACAGTAGAATAATGTAGAATAAATTAGAACATAGTAGAATAAAGTAGAATAAAGTAGAACAAAGTATAATAGAGTAGAATAAATTACAATGAAGTAAAGCGGAGTAGAATAAAGTAGAATAAAGTAAAACAGAGTAGAATAAAGTAGAATAAAGTAAAACAGAGTAGAATAAAGTAAAACAGAGTAGAATAAAGTCAAATTAAGTATAATAAAATAGAAGAAAGTAGAAGAGTGTAGAATAAAGTAAAACAGAGTATAAAAGAGTATAATAAAGTATAATACAGTAAAACAGAGTAGAACAAAGTAGAACAGAGTAGAATAAAGTAGAATAAAGTAGAACAGAGTGGTACCGTTGGGCAGGCAACAGTCCACCAGGATGCGGGGGGGCATTAGGTGGAGCCCCCATAGCTCCCCTGACGACGGTCTGGGTGTCATGGCAACCACTTGTCACAAGCTGCCTCACCTTAGCACTGGTCTACCTACAGACAGACAGACAGACAGACAGACTCAAAGGACGTGAACTGAGCTGCTGATTTTGCTCTGATGGACTCATCATGGATGAGTAGTAGAAACCTAGCTGGTTCTATAGGTTCTATACATTCAGGTTCTATACGCCATATCATTATCATATCATTAGATTTTTCATTCCTTGTACCCCTTTTGATAGATACTGACCTCTGCAGACCGGGAACACCCCACAAGAGCTGCAGGTTTGGAGATGTTCTGACCCAGTCTACCATCCCAATGTGGTCTTGGCAAAGTGGCTCAGATCCTCACACAAGACAGCAGAACCACAGCCTGTAATCTCAGTTACAATCATTAATAAAGAAAAGATCAGAGGTTCAAAACATTGTCATTAATGTTAGAAATATTTTTTCAGCTTCTGACCAGTGTAGGTCATCTATGGTATAATGTGTAAAATAAATAAAAAGGAACAGTTCAGTGCTGCACTGTCAGTGTCTGATTTATTAATGATTAATTAATGATTGATTAACTGTAGAAGCACACTAATGATCATTGAGCTCAAACTGATACTGAAGCTGTATTTTATTTTTCTCTCCTTTTTCGTGCTTCCAGACGTATTGATGCTACATTTTCAACCACAATATCTGGATTTTTGATTTATTAATAGTGAATGAAAGTTCACTTTGTGCTTTATTTTTACTGTTGGTAAAAAGAAAATGATAATTATTTTAGGAAAGACCCCGTACCACCTTTAGTACTCACAAGTTTGCTGTTGAAATCTTGAGGGCCCCATTATTAACCAAGTAAACTGGAAAATGGTCCTTTGGCCCTCTTTGATCACATTCAGATCCGATAGATAGATTTATATAGACACATACACTCCTGAACAAAATCTTAAGACCGGGAGAAAAATTACAAGTATTCGCATTTCGCTTTGGTGGAACATAACCAGGTTGTAAGTAGAGCTTCAAATTGCCAAAAGAAGAAACAGGAGCAAGAGACAAAACAATAGAGGAGGCAATTTATTGAAAATTGCATTTAAACTCAAAAAGGCTATTCATCAGCTGATCAAAAGTTTAGGACCATAGCCTTATAAAGTCCAAATCTGTGCAAAAATCTGGCTTTCATGTCATTTTCTATCAGGCATTCACACTGTCATGACCACCTGATGGCAAAGGCAAAAAGGTTTTCTGTCTTTGAACGTGGCAGGATTGTTGAGCTGCACAAGCAAGGCCTCTCGAACGTGCCATCGCTGCCGAGGTTGGACGCAGTTAGATAGTCATTTTAAATTTTTAAAAGATTCTGAGGTTTATGGGACAAAAAGGTCAAGTGGTAGACCCAAAAAAAACCTGCGCTGAGCCGGAGGATCCAACGGCTGTCCATGAAGACACAGGCCGATCCTTGACCCAAATTAAGGCCCTTACTGATGCTGACTGTAGCGCAATAACCATCAGACAGCGTCTGCGACAGAAGGGCTTAAAGAACAAAGAACGTCTTCAAAGGCCACGTCTCCTCCCACACCACAAACTTGCCCGTGTGCACTTTGCAAGGGAGCACCAAACATGGGACATTGAAAGGTGGAAGAAAGTTTTATTCTCTGATGAGAAAATTTTTTACCTTGACAGTCCTGATGGCTTCCAACGTTACTGACATGACAAGGAGACCTCACTGGAGATGTTTTCTAGGCGGCACAGTGGAGGAGGCTCCATCATGATCTGGGGTGCTTTTTTCTTCAATGGAACAATGGAGCTTCAGGTTGTGCAGGGACGTCAAACTGCGGCTGGCTATGTGGAGATGTTGCACCGGGCATCCCTCTAGACTGAGGGCCCTCGTCTGTGTGTTGATGACTGGGTCTTTCAACAGGACAACGCTGCAGTTCACAACGCCCGCCTGACGAAGGACTTCTTCCAGGAGAATAACGTTGCTCTTTTGGACCATCCTGCGTGTTCCCCTGATCTAAATCCCGTTGAGAACGTTTGGGGATGGATGGCAAGGGAAGTTTACAAAAAACGGACGTCAGTTCCAGACCGTGGATGCCCTTCGTGAAGCCATCTTCACCACATGGAGCAACGTTCCCACCATCCTCCTGGAAACACTCACATCAAGCATGTCTAAACAAATTTTTGAAGTGATCAACAACAATGGTGGGGCTACTCACTACTGAGTCCTTTTTTTGAAACTTTTAGTTCTGTTTTGGGTTTTTTTTGGGCTATGGTCTTAAACTTTCAATCAGCTGATGAACAGCCTGTTTGAGTTTAAATGCAATTTTCAATAAATTGCATTTAAACTCAAACAGGCTGCTCCTGTTTCTTCTTTTGGCATTTTGAAGCTCTACTTACAATCTTGTTATGTTCCACCAACACAATGGTCTTTTTCGGTCTTAGTTTTGGTCAGGGTTATATGTATGGCATTTTATATAGTATTTTTATATTTAATTTTTAAATATTTATTATGAAGCTCTACTATAAACACATCTATGTTATGTATAGACACATATATATATAGAGATTTATATAGACACATATGTATAGATTTATATAGACACATATATATAGATTTATATAGACACTATGTATAGATTTATATATTGACTCGATTATGTAGATTTATATATAGACACATATGTATAGATTTATATAGCATATGTATAGATTTATATATAGACACATATGTATAAATTAATATATACACACATATATGTATAGATGTATATATAGACACATATGTATAGATTTATATATAGACACATATGTGTATAGATTTATAAATAGACATATATGTATAGATTTATATAGAAACATGTGTAGGGACTTGGCTTTGGAACCGAAGGGTCGCCAGTTCAAGTCCTACAGACCACAGTATGGAGTGTGGACTGGTAGCCACCTCCTGTGTACTGCAGAAGTGCCCTTAAGCAAGGCACCTAACCCCCCCCAAAAAACTCTCTCCATGTTTGCATGACCACATGTGTTTCAGTCTGTGTGTGTGTGAAAATAAAGTTAATCTTAATTATTGACAGCAATTGGTTGAATTTGAGTTCAATGATGTGCTGGCAGCTTCCTGCAGACACTGATTATGTGTCAAACATTTTATTGTGTTATATTAAATATTATTATTTCTGTCCTGTACTGAATGTTAAAGGTTTAATGTTTGACACATGAAATCTATATGACTTCCTTTACTGACATTATATTAAGTTATAATAAATTCAAACATAATCAAAATGTTTATTTGTTGATATTTATCTGCTTTATTTATCTAGTTCTTCTGCTGGATGATTTATTTGTTGTTTATATTTCGTCCCGTTTGTCTCTTCACGTCCTCCTGTCCTTACATTGTCTTTGTATCTTTGTGATTTTTCAATGAAGCTATCAAACAAAGAGCAGAAAGTAGGACACTCTGTGTGTGTGTGTGTGTGTGTGTGTGTTTGATACAGTGTGTGTGTGTGTGTGTGTGTGTGTGTGTGTGTGTTTGTTACAGTCTGTGTGTGTGTGTGTGACAGTGTGTGTGTGTGTGTGTGTGTGTGTGTTACAATGTGTGTGTGTGACAGTGTGTGTGTGTGTGTGTTTGTTACAGTCTTTGTTGTGTGTGTGGTGTGTGTGTGTGTGTGTGTGTGTGTGTGTGTGTGTGTTACAATGTGTGTGTGTGTGTGTTTGTTACAGTCTGTGTGCGTGTGTGACAGTGTGTGTGTGTGTGTGTGTGTGTTACAATGTGTGTGTGTGACAGTGTGTGTGTGTTTGTTACAGTCTGTGTGTGTGGAGGAAGCTGACTTCCTTCAGTTCTCTTCCTGTTGACCAGCTGATATAAAGTTTCAGTCCGTCACATTTTCAGTTTTCTTACATCAGAATGTACAAAGAATATATAATAAATATATTATATTGTATATATATATATAAATTATTGAATAAAGTATAACATAATAAAGTAAAACACAATGACAGAAACAATTGGAAATAATAATCTTTTATAATATTTTGAAAAAAGTTGTGACATTCTTGTAGACAAAAGTATGTTTCTTAATGAATTAATAATTAATGAAATAAAATTCATCAATCTGAAACTCTTTCTGTGCTTATGTTATTGATTACATTAACAAAAACACCTGACTGAACCAGGACCAGATGACACAGCATCGGTAGCTAGTTCTAACTGAAAGATGAACAGGAAGTGAAGCAGCCGTCTCTCAGGTTGATTGATTGATTGACAGGTTTGTTGTGATGTTTACTGATGATGTCACGTTTGTTTACATGTTTGTACACAGCAGGTAAAAAGGAAGATACATATTTCTATATATTATCAATATATTAACTCTCTTTTAGTTTGAATCTGAATCAGATCAATAATTAGATCAATAATTGATTGATCCATATTGATCAGTATATTGATTTTATCTGCAGCTCCTCTCCTCCTGAAGAACATACATACAGTATATCTATATATAATCAATATATTGTCTATAACTCTAGTTTCCAAAACTTTATTCATAAAGTGAAACAGATCAATAAATGGTCAATAAATGATCAATCTATCATATATTGATTGATCTGCAGGTTGAACACTGTCCCTCTCCTCCTCATGACCTCAGCCTCATATGGTTACCATGACAACGGCAATGGGAGCATCAGGACAGACAGACAGACAGACAGACAGACAGACAGACTCTTTGTTCTGTCACTCACCTGAGCTCGTGCCTGTCGCTCCAGCGGCGCGTGCCTCCGGTCATGCTGTCTGTCTGACTGTCTCTCTGTCTGTCTTGTCTTTGTCTCCGTTTATGTCTCAGCCGGTGGATCCATCAGTCGCCGCCCCGCTGCATCTGTTTCACACAAAGACCCGACACAAACCGCGACCGTCCACACCGGAGACCCGTCTGTCTGTCTGTCTGTCTGTCTGTCTGCCAGTCAGTCTGTCTGATTGACTGACTGTCTGTGTTCCTGTAGCCAGTATCAGCGGCAGCGAGAAGCTGCTTCTCGCCGGGAGCCGCAGAACAATGTGCTGATGGAGGCAGAGGAGGGAGGGGGAGGGAGGAAGAGGGAGGAGGAGGAGAGGGAGGAGGGGGAGGAGGAAGAGGGAAGGGAGGGAGGGGGAGGAAGAAAAGGAGGGGGAAGGAGGGAGGGGGGGAAGGAGGGAGGGAGGGAGGGAGGGAGGAAGGTTTCGGCTCATCCTCTTCCTCTCTTAAAGGGCCAGTAGCCTCTGGAGACAGGAGCTCTCCATCCCAGCTACAGAGAATACACACACACACACACACACACACACACACACACACACACACGGACGGCTGGTATATATGGGCTAACAGGGCTAAGCCCTCCCTCTCTTTTACAGTAAAGATGAGAAACTATTATTAAAAACATTAGAACATATTGTTTTGAATTTTGGTAGAACCTAGAGCAGCAACAGCACAAAACTGTCAGGATTCTGAGGGGAGAGCAGAAGCAGATCGGACAAGAGGTAGAGTTTACACGGTTTATTAGACAACGAGTGAATAGTGAAAAAAGGGGGAGCTGGCAGGCGAGAGTGGGAGTCCAGAGGTGGGGGTGATCCAGAGAGTGGCTGGCTGGGTGGGCTGAGTGGACTGGGTTCCAGGGCTGAGTCCCAGGAATGATTCCTGAGGCAGAGAGACACGGTTAGTTGCAGACAATAACAGACGGCAAGAAGCAGACAGGCAACAAACGGTAGCAACGATAAATAACTGGCTGGAAAGCAGTAGCATACTCAAAACTTCACAACAACCCGGCTTTGACTGGATGTGTGGCTGCTCCTTAAAGGGACACTTCACCCATTTGCATCAAGCTTTGTATCATTAGAACCCCAGTCATATTTCTGAATGGTCGTGCATCATTTCCTCTCTTTCCCTGAGAGGGAGAAATAAGGATGTCAGTGTGTCACTTCCTGCTTCCAATGATGTAAAAATCGTCATTCTGCGTCATTGGAAGCAGGAAGTCTCATATCTCTGTAGAGGGGGTGAGACTACAAACACTACTTCCTCATGTTGTTTCACTCACGCTACAGACCTATTACAGATCAGTGGGAGGGACTAAAAAATATAACCGCCATCTTGTTTGGAAGCTAAGCGGGGGCGCTGTGGAGCCAGACGTTACGACTATGGTAATCAATGTAATATGGAAGAAATTTCGAAAGTACGATGGTGGAATCAGATGTTTGTGGCTACCTTTATGAGCCGCAATATAGCGAGCAGCGTCTGAGGCTGCTGCAGCCGAGGCCTGTCGCGGACGAGGAGCCCGGACCGGCTGGAGCTGGCGGACTGCTGGTGTCTGTGCTCTCGCTGTGCGCCTACGGACACACGGACGTCTGACTGTAAAGTGTTTCTATTTTCTGTCTTATAACAACGTGGCATGTATGTACACTATTTGTTCAAGTATTATCACAAAGTTATTCCCGGTTAATACGTAACGTCAGCCAACTGAACTAACGTTAGCTTCTTTACTGCACAAACAGCTTGCAGTTGCATTGCTAACTACTGTGGCACGCTAAACACAAAGACCATGTATCTCTAACTGTGTGCTCAATGTCTTGTAGACAATATCGCTAACAGCCTTTCTGGAATGGGTCCTGCAAGGCGAGAGATTGGGTCGAGGCGTTGTTTTACCCGCTGATGTGGTGCAGGCTCTCCGACAGTATCCAGCTCCAGATGGCCAGTACTGCGGCACCGAGACGTTGAGGACGCTCAGGACGAACTAGAACTGTCATTGTTTACATATTTATTGTTGTTGTTGTTGATATATTTCTGTGAATAAATGGTTTACATTCATGTTGTTGTAGTCCTTGATAGTGTTAGTGGGAGCGGCTTGCGGAGCTGTGCATTGTGGGAGTTGTTGTCTTTAATACAAATGCGCCCTAAAGTCACTTTCTGTCTTTTCTCGATAAAATAGGCACCAAATTCAAAATGTATGTTACATTCCGACTACATATATATAACCCACTTTCAATAAATATTACAGTGCTCCTTTAAGTACTGCTGAAGATTGATGAGGAGCAGGTGTGTTGATGACCTCAGCCAGGTGTGTGAGCAGCCAGAGATAGACACGCCCCCCGAGCACTGCCAAAGAGTGACAAACACCACAAGACAACACAAGACAACACAAGCAACACAAAACACCCAAACAGTCATCACGGCCCGCGATTCGTGACAAAAACCCAGAATATATGATTTATCTTGGGTTTGTTCCTGTGAATGGGCTAAATGTATTCAGCCCAAGCACAGGAGCGTAAGCTTCCACTCACTTTTGATTGACATGTGTCGTGACACGCCCCCATTTGGGCTAAATTCATTCAGCCCAAAGGCTGACCTTCGACCAATCACAGCGCAGTAGCTACAGTGCAGTGACCTTCGACCAATCACAGCGCAGTAGCTACAGTACAGTGACCTTCGACCAATCACAGCGCAGTAGCTACAGTACAGTGAGGTATTTGGTAGTATGGCGGGCGTTAGCATGATGAAGATGAACGAGGTGGATTATTTACTTTCTAATCAATTTCCTTTAAAGTCTTTGGAGGATTAAATGGAAATACAGAGATTGGGAACACATCATCCAAACGATGTTCAAATAACACAAAAGGACAAACAACAAAATCGTAGTTTTGTGTTCCGTGGTTTCAGCTAACGGACTGGCTAACAGCAAGTGTAGCTAGGAATTCACTTTTCTGTTTCCATGTTTGCTGTTTGGAGGAGACACGGCTTGGACCCAACAAGGAATTGTAGATTTAACACATTTATCCGACAAAATTAGGAAACATAAATGCAGCACGAGCTACATTGGGAACAGCGTAAAGTTGTCATTGCTGGGGAAAGTGAACATCAGCTGTCAGCTTAATGAGGGTCACTGCATCCTGTACAGAGACACAACGAGCTGGTAAAGAAACACAGGCATTCACTATCACGGACTGTGGACTGGATTACATTTTGTGTGGACATGAGCTCGCCCTGTGGGGGTCCGATTAATCTGTTTGTGTCACAGAAAGGCCGTCGATGTGTTTTAAATAAGGTATGTCCAAGCTCTGAAACAACTCTCTCTTCTACAAATAATTATTTTTGCTTTTGGTCTAATAGATTTATTTCTGGTACATGGTTGTAAATTGTTGCTTCTATAATGTAGTTGTAGCGCAATTGGAATGTGCTGATGTGTACAGAGGAGAGAGAGAGAGAGAGAGAGAGAGAGAGAGAGAGATTTTTTTTGGCATCAGGTCATTTGGGTCTTTTGGGTCTCCCCAGTGTTGCCGTAGAGCCCTTACTATAACAAAGTATACAATGTTGTTGCTGTAACTTGATGTGATGCTGCTGTTGCTGCTGTGTGGCGTATTGATGAGTGTAATGCATTTGTTAGCCCGCCCACCCAAAATCACCACCAGCCTTCACTGCACACATATATTTATTAATATGTGTGTGTGTGTGTGTGTGGGTGTGTTCGGTATGTTGTGTGTGTGTGTGTGTGTGTGTGTGAACTAATAGATAAATTGTCATTTTTTGTGCACAAACGAAACAATACGACTGTGAAAAGTGTTCAAATATCTGTATATAATCAATAATATAATCAATATAATGTGTGGACAGAGCTTTTTTACTATGGAGGATATGTTTGATCGTAATTAAAATGAGAGAGATCAAATTAAACAGATTATTCTGTGTAGTGAAGTCAGTTTGGACAACAGTGAGTTAAACCTGCATTCTCTCTAACAGCCAGCAGGGGGCAGCTCCAATCTGATACCATTCAGTTTTATGGAGACACACACACACACACACACACAGTTAATCCTAATCCTGTTTTTGTTTTCCAGATTCTCCTTGTTTACCACCAGTGTGTGTGTGTGTGTGTGTGTGTGTGTGTGTGTGTGTGTGTGTGTGTGTGAGACTGTTACTGTATATAGACTGTTACTGTATGTAGACTGTTCCTGTATATAGACTGTTACTGTATGTAGACTGTTCCTGTATGTAGACTGTTACTGTATGTAGACTGTTACTGTATGTAGACTGTTCCTGTATATAAACTGTTCCTGTATGTAGACTGTTACTGTATGTAGACTGTTCCTGTATATAGACTGTTACTGTATGTAGACTGTTCCTGTATGTAGACTGTTACTGTATATAGACTGTTACTGTATGTAACTGTCTTATGTAAACTGTTCCTGTATGTGACTGTTACTGTTGTGACTGTTCCTTATTGACTGTTCCTGTTGTGACTGTTACTGTATGTAGACTGTTCCTTATGTAGACTGTTCCTGTATGTGACTTTACTGTTATAACTGTTCCTGTATATGACTGTTATTTGTGACTGTTCCTGTATATAGACTGTTACTGTATGTAGACTTTCCTGTATGTAGACTGTTCCTTTGTAGACTGTTACTGTATATAAACTGTTCCTTTATAGACTTTCTGTTTGACTGTTCCTTATATGATGTTCCTTTGTGACTGTCCTTTGTGACTGTTACTGTATATAAACTGTTCCTGTATATAGACTGTTACTGTATGTAGACTGTTCCTGTATATAGACTGTTACTGTATGTAGACTGTTCCTGTATGTAGACTGTTCCTGTATGTAGACTGTTACTGTATATAGACTGTTACTGTATGTAGACTGTTACTGTATATAGGCTGTTACTGTATGTAGACTCAGTGACGCCGCAACCCAGGCAATTGCCTAGGGCCCCGAGCTGAAGGGGGCCCTGAGGGACGGCTGACGTCAATGACAAAATAATGGACCTGCTTTAGACACTGTAACGACAACGCATCGAAAATGCCCTGCACAGGGCCCTTTCTGAGTTGTCACTGGCTAGTTGCTAGTAGGGGCCCCCGACAGACGGCTGATATCGCTCCATATCAGCGACACAACTTGAAACCCCCGTAGACACTGCAATGACACGTCGGGAATCTCCCTAATGGGGCCCCCTTACTAGCCAGCATCGACGTGGGGTCCTGGTCAAACACAGATGAAAAAATGAAGCGAACATATCTCTCTGGGCACACAAAAACAAAACAAAAAAACAAGAAGAGGATGAAAAGAAAAAAGGTGACAGTGGTAAGTGGGAATGTGTAAGCTATGTGTGTTACATTATTAAAAAAGTAGTGCTGCCAGCCAGCCTGCCACTTTATCCCAAACTCCCAGTCATCCACCAAGCACCAAAAAAGTTTACTGCACATTAAAGTCTGTGTAAAGTGAATTCAGCCATTTTCTTCTAAACACATTCATAGCCACACAATCAGTTAGTCCTTTGCTGCCAATGCCTATGATATTTTCTCCCAGAATAAAGCATTTGTTGTCAAATGTTAAAACTGATACCAGCATCAATTCTGCTGTCAGTTTGGTCTGTTTAAACTGGTGCTAATTTGTATTTGGAATTATGTTTTTTAAATGTGAGCTGCTGGACAACTGAATTTCCCTTCAGGGATAAATAAAGTTTATCCTATCCTATATATCCATACATTTTCTGCTATAGCCTAAATGTTACATTAAATAAAATGTTAACATGAAGCCTTAAAGTTGTTACTGCAAATGGATGTTCATTAATTATTCCATACAGATCTCAAATGTTGTGTTTGTGTAGCATGCACAGTTCTTTACTTTACTTTACACAAGCCAACCAAATACATTGTGCTCTTTTCTTTTTTCTTCCTCAAGGTGCTTTGTTGAAGTTTTTTGGCCCACAACAACAACAACAACAACAACAACAACAGCAACAGCAGACCTCTACAGGAGAGGCTCACAGGACTGGCACTGATTTCAATAGAAAGAGATTCGAAACTCCTTAGATATGGAAGACATAGTGGCTACATTTGCAGAAGCCAAGGCCCTCAAGCAGCAGTTTTAAGAAAAAAAAGGCACTACTATTCGACTGTGGATATAGGACCAAGGTGTCACAGCAAGTCTTAAATTCTTCCTTTCCACTTCAATACCTTGTTTGTTTGTTTTTTTGCTTGGTTGCGTTTTTATCATTCTGAACATTTTGCACATTTCAGTTATATTTGTTTTTCTGTTATTTATATATTGTATGTAAAGTTTGCATTCAGATAGTTATGTTATTTGTTATTTATTTTATATGTTAATTGTTTAATAAAAGATTTCTTTACTGATCCGTAGTCCTGGACTTCATTCATCATGATTCTGGGGGGCCCCATAGTCCTTCTTGCCTAGGGCCCCCAGGGGGTCTAGAAACGCCCCTGTGTAGACTGTTACTGTATGTAGACTGTTACTGTATGTAGACTGTTAGTGTATGCAGACTGTTACTGTCAAAACATGAATACGTGCTGACGTACTAACCCTAACCTTTGGTGCTGTAGCTCTGTCCAGTGAAGTTACTCGTTTCAGTGGTTATTTACCCGCTTAACATTTAAACGTAGACTAGTTCTACCTGAACACTCGGAGCTACTCCTTCTTTTAGCGACTTTTCGCTATTTGCATAGTTTTCACTCACACTAGCTTTATTAGCATTAGCATTAGCATTAGCAGTTAGCGATGGCTTCTCCCTCTTCATCTGCTCCTCTGTCCTGCTCAGTGTGTCAGATGTTCAGTTATTCCTCTGACTCCTTTAATGATAATGGTACCTGTATTAAATGTAGTTTATTTACTGCACTGGAGGCGAGGCTTAGTGAAGTAGAAGTACGGTACCACACCACAGAATTATCTTTAGCCGCTATAGTTAGCCAGCCCCCAGTAGCTGCTGCGGGCCGACCGAAGGTAAGCTCTGTTAACCGTCCCCCGGTAGTTCCCCCTGTAGTTCCCGAGCAGCCGGGAAGACAGGGAGGCTGGGTGACTGAGCGGAGGAAGACTAAACTGCTGAAGCCCACAGTTCACCACCAATGGGTTCATGTTTCTAATAAATTTTCCCCACTAAGCGACACACCCGCTGAGGAACCAACTCTGATTATTGGCAGCTCCATAGTCAGAAACATGAAGTTAGTGAAGCCAGCGGCCATAGTTAAATGTATCCCTGGGGCCAGAGCGGGCGACACTGAATCCAATGTCGGACACCGTAGTTTTCTCTGGACCCCTCCCCAATGTGACCAGTGATGACATGTATAGCCGCATGTCGTCATTCCACCGCTGGCTGTCGAGGTGGTGTCCAGCAAACGATGTGGGCTTCATTAATAACTGGAAGCCTTTTTGGGGAAAACCTGGTCTGATTAGGAGAGACGGCATCCATCCCACTTTGGATGGAGCGGCTCTCTTATCTAGAAATATGGCAAAGTTTATTTCTAAAACCTGACAGTCCAGAGTTAGGACCAGGAAGCAGAGCTGCTGTCTTACACACTTCTCTGCTCTTTCTTTAGAACAGTCACCCACCCAAAACCCCATAGAGACTGTGTCTGTCCCCCGACCACCTAAATTATTTAAAGAAATAAAAACAAGAGGAGTTAAAGATGAAAACTTAATAAAAATTAAAACCAACTCCTCAGTAGCACAAAATAAAATAATTAAAAGTGGACTGTTAAATATCAGGTCTCTGTCCTCTAAAGCTGTTTTAGTGAATGAATTAGTCATATTAATACTCACATTCCTCGAGGCACTGGCCGAGGAGGTGGAGTAGCAGCCATATATGATTTGAGCGTTTTAATTTACCCTAAACCTAAACTAAATTATAATTCATTTGAAAGCCTTGTTCTTAGTCTTTCTCACCCAAACTGGAAAACACTGCAGCCAGTTCTATTTGTTATAGTGTACCGCGCTCCTGGACTGTACTCTGATTTTATATCTGAATTTCTCAGAGTTTTTATCAAGTTTAGTCCTTAAATCAGATAAAGTAATTATTGTAGGTGATTTTAATATTCATGTGGATGTTGACAATGACAGCCTTAGTAACGCATTTATATCATTAATAGACTCAATTGGCTTCTGTCAGAGTGTAAATAAACCAACTCATTGTTTTAATCACACTCTTGACCTTGTTCTATCATATGGCATGATGATTTGAACATTTAATAGTCTTCCCACAAAATCCTTTCCTATCTGACCATTATTAAATAACTTTTGAATTCATATTATTAGATTATAAACCACTAGGCAAAACTTCCTACAGCAGATGTCTATCTGACAGTGCTGTAGCTAAGTTTAAGGAGGAGATTCCATCGGTGTTTAATTCAATGCCATGTCTGAATATAACAGAGTCCTATATTAACTTTAGTCCCTCTGAAATTGATAATCTTGTTGATAGTGCTACAGGCTCACTACAATCAACATTAGACTCTATCGCTCCTATAAAATGGAAATTATTAAAACATAGCCAACTAGCACCGTGGTACAACCACCAAACCCACCGATTGAAGCAAAAAACAAGGAAATCTGAAAGGAAATTGCGCTCTTCGAAATTATTAGAATATCGCTCAATTTGGCATGATGATCTTAAAACCTATAGAAAGGCCCTCTGTAATGCCAGAGGAGCCTATTACTCAGCACTAATAGAAGAAAATAATAACAACTCTAGGTTCCTCTTCAGCACTGTAGCCAGGCTGACAGAGAGTCACAGCTCTATTGAGCCACATATCCCCATAAACTTAAGTAGCAATGACTTCATGAGCTTCTTCTATAATAAAATTATTACTATTAGAGAAAAAATTAATCACCAACTGCCATCAACAGTTATCAGTGGCTCTCCAAGTTCAGGGACTTTAACTAATGTAAAGTCAGATATATATTTAGAATGTTTTTTCTGCACAGTCTTTTAAAGTAGCTGTAATTAAACCCCTTCTTAAAAAGCCCACTCTTGACCCAAGGGTTTTAGCCAACTATAGAACAATCTCTAACCTCCCCTTCCTCTCTAACATTCTGGAGAAAGTAGTCGCCAAAGAGTTGTTTGACTTTCTACATAACAATAGTTTATTTGAGAATTTTCAATCAGGATTTAGAGTTCATCACAGCACAGAGACAGCTCTGGTTAAAGTTAATAATGACCTTTTGATTGCTTCTGACAATGGACTTGTCTCTGTACTTGTATTATTAGATGTTAGTGCTGCATTTGACACCATTGACCATGATATTCTTTTACAGAGACTTGAGCATCAAATTGGCATTAAAGGAACCGCACTAAGCTGGTTTAAGTCATACTTCATACTACTTCAGATTGTTCTCAGTTTGTACATGTTAACGATGAATCTTCAATAAATACTACAGTTAGTCATGGAGTTTCACAAGGTTCTGTAATTTACTTTATATATACTCCCTTTAGGCAACATTATTAGGAATCACTCCATTAACTCTCATTGCTATGCAGATGAAACGCAGTTATATCTATCGATCAAGTCCGATGAAATTAATCAATTATCTAAATTACAAACATGTCTTAAGAACATAAAATCCTGGATGAGCTGCAATTTTCTGATGTTAAACTCAGAAAAAAACGAAATTCTTGTTCTTGGCCCCAAAAACCTTAGAGACTCACTGTCTAAAGATATAGTTACTCTAGATGGCATTACCTTGGACTCTAGCACCACTGTCAGGAATCTTGGAGTTATCTTTGATCAGGATTTGTCATTTAACTCCCACATAAAGCAGACCTCTAGGACCGCCTTCTTTCATTTACGTAATATTATAAAAATTAGACACATACTATCACAGACAGATGCAGAAAAACTAATCCATGCATTTGTTACTTCAAGGCTGGATTACTGCAACTCTTTATTATCAGGTTGCCCCAATAAGTCCATTAAAACGCTCCAATTAATTCAGAACGCTGCAGCACGAGTACTGACGGGAACTAGAAAAAGAGATCACATCTCTCCTGTACTAGCTTCTCTGCATTGGCTCCCTGTAAAATGTAGAATAGAATTTAAAATCCTCCTCCTCACCTATAAAGCTCTTCATGGTCAGGCCCCTTCATATCTTAAAGAGCTCATAGTACCCTATTACCCCTCTAGAACACTACGTTCTCTGAATGCTGGGCTACTTGTGGTTCCTATACTCTCTAAAAGTAGAACAGGAGCCAGAGCCTTCAGTCACCAAGCTCCTCTCCTGTGGAACCAGCTTCCAGTTGTGGTTCGGGAGGCAGACACCCTCACCACATTCAAGAGTAGGCTTAAGACATTCCTCTTTGATAAAGCTTATAGTTAGGGCTGGATCAGGTGAGTCCTGAACCCTCCCTTAGTTATGCTGCTATAGGCCTAGACTTTTGGGGGATTTCCCATGGTGCACTGAGCTCCTCCCTTCCTCTCTCTTTATGCACTCATTCATGTCCCATTAATGCATGTTACTAACTTTACTTCTTCCCCGGAGTTTGCCATTGCTAATATCACTGATATTAGTGTTATTATTATTATTACTACAGTTACTATTATTACTATTGTCACTACTCATTGTCCCCCATCGTTGTTGTCGTCGCCATCATCTTCTTCATGTTCATCATCATCAGTCACTACTATTGGTGTAGTTGTTGCTACTGTTGTTGCTGTTCACCTGTCTCCCTCCCTCTGTCTCTCTCACCCCAACTGGTCAAGGCAGATGACCACCCACCTAGAGCCGAAGGATCTGTCCTAGGTTTCTGCCTCTTAAAAGGCAGTTTTTCCTTACCCCCATTACCAAGTGCTTGCTCATGGTGGGAATTGTTGGGTCTCTGTAAATAATGTTATAAAGAGTTCGGTCTAGACCTGCTCTATTTGAAAAGTGTCCTGAGATAACTTCTGTTATGAATTGGCACTATACAAATAAAATTGAAAATTGAATTGAATACTGTATATAGACTGTTACAGTATGTAGACTGTTACTGTATATAGACTGTTACTGTATATAGACTGTCACAGTGTATAGACTGTTACTGTATGTAGACTGAACCACCACCACCACCACCATCATCAGTCTCCCAATCAACGATCAATAGTCTGTTGTGTAGTTAGCCATCATTAATTTATTAGAATCTACTTTTCGTCATCATCTTCATAATACAATAACACCAGTATTCAAACAGTCCCATTGTCATGGTTACCAGGGTTCTTATTAGTCTGATTATCAGCCTATTCAACTTGTTACCACGACGACTCTCAGGTGAGGAGAGTGTGCTCAGTCCAGGTCTGTCATTGTGTGTTATGTAGTGTGTATATTGTGTATATTGTGTGTATTATGCAGTGTGTATATTATGTGTGAGTGTTCTCAGGATGTGGTTCTCTCTCTCCAGCTGTTGGTTCCTCTCTTGCAGCTCCCTGATTTGTTCCTTCAGAAGCTCCACCTCCTCTCTGACCGCTAGCATCAGGTGACTCTTTACCAGGTCCTACACACACACACACACACACACACACACACACACACACACACACACACATCATTGTGTTTACAAAGATCCTTTAGAAAGTGCAGATGCTCCACTCTGATTCAGGGCGCAGTCACTGATCATTTCATTATTATACCACAACTGAGTGAATACTGGATTCTGATTCGGGACACCTCGTCTGGTTTATCCATTGTATAATTAATAATAATAACAAGCTTTATTATGTAAGTATCAGTAATATAGTGGAATCAGTGTAAACTACAGAAGAATTAGTGTAAACTACAGACAAATAAGTGTAAACTACAGTAGAAGCACAGTAAACTACAGTAGAACCAGTGTAAACTCGAGTAGAATCAGTGTAAACTACAATAGAATCACAGTAAACTACAGTAAAATCAATATAAACTACAGTAGAAGCAGTGTAAACTACAGTAGAATCAGTGTAAACTACAGAAGAACCAGTGTAAACTACAGTAGAATCACAGTAAACAACAGTTAAATCAATGTAAACTACAGTAGAATCAGTGTAAACTACAATGGAATCAGTGTAAACTACAGAAAAATCAGTGTAAACTACAGTAGAATCAGTGTAAACTACAGTAGGATCAATGTAAACTACAGTAGAATCAGTGTAAACTACAGTAGAACCAGTTTAAACTCGAGTAGAATCAGTGTAAACTACAATAGAATCCCAGTAAACTACAGTAAAATCAATGCAAACTACAGTAGAATCAGTGTAAACTACAGTAGAAGCAGTGCAGACTACAGTAAAATCAATATAAACTACAGTAGAAGCAGTGTAAACTACAGTAAAATCAGTGTAAACTACAGAAGAACCAGTGTAAACTACAGCAGAATCACAGTAAACTACAGTTAAATCAATGTAAACTACAGTAGAATCAGTCTAAACTTCAGAAAAATCAGTGTAAACTACAGTAGAATCAGTCTAAACTTCATAAAAATCAGTGTAAACTACAGTAGAATCAATGTAAGCTACACTAGGATCAATGTAAACTACAGAAGAATCGGTGTAAACTACAATAGAATCAGTGTAAACTACAGACAAATCAGTGTAAACTACAGTAGAATCACAGTAAACTACAGTAGAACCAGTGTAAACTCGAGTAGAATCAGTGTAAACTTCAGAAGAATCAGTAGAAATCAAACTCACCATGGCCTGCTCGATTTTGTTGTCGATGGCGATCAGACTGTTACTGGAACTACTGTAAGACAAAGAGAGACAGACAGGTTTGGGACAGACAGGTGTTGTTAAGGAACAGGTTCTGAGACATTCTGCAGGTGTTAAGACCTCCAGGTGAATCTGAGCACACCTGCATCAGAAGCCCCGGCCTCTGGTTACCATGTTTACCTGTGGCAGAAGAGCAGCAGTGACATCATGGTAGCTTCAGAGCCCCGCCCACTGGGAGGAGCTCTAAGAGGGACTGACCAATGAGGGTGAGGGGCAGCAGTGAACAGTGGAGTCTGGGACAGGGGCGGGACTGATGGGGTCATGTGAGGTTGTGATTGGTTTGTGGTTCTGGGAGGGGCCTCAGTAAATGGCTGGCCCCGAGAGGGTGGGGTCAGTGACGGCCCAGCACCTGGCCAGGACTCTCTGACCCCTGACACATGACCTTTCACCTTTCTACCACCCCTTAACATAACAGGTCCCTCTGGTTGCCTAGCAACAAGCTGCAGAGTCCTGAGGGGGAGAGGTGGGGTCGACGGGGGACGCCGCTGAGGACGAGGAGCGTGGGCGGGGTCAGAGAGGGGAGAGGATGGCTGCAGATGCCCCAAAACAATTTTCTTTACACCACCAAACATCTCTAACAGCGTCAACTCTGAACGTCCAATCAGAGCTCAGCTACAGACTGCAGACCAATCACAATTCAGATCAATATAGAGACGATTCAACGGCTGTCTAATCAAAGACATCTGTGTTGTCCCTCACTAGGATCTGTTGATGACCACCGTCTTTCGTTAAGGTCTGATGTCCCTCGTTAATGTCCACTGTCTCTCGTTAATGTCCAAAATCCCTGAGTAAGGTCTCTCTGTTGTCCCTCATTAGTATCCTCTCTTAATGTCCAGCACGCCTAATTAATATCCACTGTCCTTTATTGATGTCGTTAAGGTCTGACGTCCTTTGTTAAGGTCCAGACACCTTGTTGTCCCTCGTCCCTCCTTGTTGTCTCTTATCTTATGTGATTGGCTGGTTGTCTGTGAGCTCACAGGTCCAATCAGAAGCAGCTGTCTCAGAGCGTCCAGATGTTGACTTCAAACTAACGAGTGTGTCTCTGTGTTTAAACTATTTCTCTGTCTGTCCGTCTGTTTCCCACACACACTCACTCTCTGCTCTCTGATTGGCTGTTGTGTCATTCCAGCTCCAGCCCACTCACTGTCCCAGCCAATAGAAAGACAGCTGTGGAATTCTCCTCCTGCCCACTCAGTGAGTCAGAACACAGAGCTTCATTCATTGGTTCAGAGTTTAAAACTGTTTAACTTGTCATCATTAGTTACTGATAACTACCTCCTACACTATTTACACTATTTAGTCTGCTTTTAATGATGATGGTAGTAAAAATATAAACCTCTAGAATGTTAATACTCTAAATAATGCAAAATAATGTTATATTTAAGGGCACCTCAGTGGTGGTAATGAGGGAGGGGCAAGCACTGCTTCTTTAATTCAGTTCAATTAAATTTTATTTGTATAGCATCAATTCATAACAGACGTTATCTCAGGACACTTTTCAAATAGAGTGCATAAGGTGCACAACAACAACAACAATAACAACAACAATAACAACAACAACAGCAACAACTACTACTGACTGATAATGACGACGTCAACGACTTTACTTTCCCCACCCAGATTTTCCCCTCAGGTTGCAGACAGCCACAGACTGCAGGTTTACAGAGACCAACCCAGTTGCTATAAACGTCTCCGATCTGCAGACTGTGGATGCTACGTAATCGTTAATGGTAAATGGACTACACTTATATAACGCCTTTCTAGTACCCTGACCACTCAAAGCATTTTACACTACATTCAGTCATAGTCACATTCACACACAGTCATACACCAGTGCTCGGCATCAGGAGCAGTTTGGGGTTCAGTATTTTGCTCAAGGACACTTTGACATGCAGCAGGAGGAGCCTGGGATCGAACCTTCAACATTCTTTAGTGGACAACCTGCTCCATCTCCTCAGACACAGCCGTCCCCCCCCGATAGCCTAACACTTTGTCACAGACACCAGAGAGATTGCCTCTCTGAGCATCTAGCTTAGCTAACATTACAACAGTGACTGTAAAACCTCCAGCAGACTCTCTGCGTTTCCAAGACGGACACAGCTCATTCTCTTTGTTAACTTTCTTAGCTCTGTTAGCTTTGTTAGCTCTGACTATTCCTGCTATTGTGAACGGTGGTGAGTCACTCTGGCTGGTGTCCTGCATAACAAACTGTGTAGTCAGAAGGCCACGCCCCCCATGTAAATCTCTGCAAGGAGGGAGCTAGCCGAATGTAGGGGGTTAGTTACAGTTCCCCTGTCCCTCATTAAGGGGTCTCAGGTCCCTCATTAAGGTCTCAGGTCCCTCATTAAGTTCCAGACTTTTTGTTGTCCGTTGTTCCATACTGTCTGTTATCTTCTGTTCAGAGTAAACACTGAAATGTGTGATCCTCCAGTGAACTTTGCAGTGAACTTTGCAGAAGCAGCAGGAACACAAAAAGGACTGTGATCCCATCATTCTGAACTGTCAGTGTTTGTTTTCATCTCAAGAGGAACGTTTCTGTTTCAACTCAAAACTCACCTGCAGGATTTATGACATCATGACTAGTGTGGAGCCAATCAGAGAGCAGTGCTCAGTTCAGTTATTAGAAACACTGAGACGTCCTGCTGACAGTCTGAATGAATGAGTCCTCTGTTTGTCTTAATCCAACACACACACACTGCTGTGTCAGCTGAGTGTGTGAGTGTGTGTGAGTGTGTGTGTGGTATGTAGGTCAGCTGTTAGCTGTTAGGAGCTTTAAGTCTGTGTACTTGTAGAGACCCCTCTGAGACCAGGACCTCTGTAGTCTGGGGGATCTGAACTCTAGGTCTGCAGGTTGGTCGTTTGAAACCCGGACGCCCTACAGGGTTAGAGTTAGAATCAGAGCTTGTTGGGGGTCTGTAGAATAACTGATGTTGGGGAAGAGATAGATATTTTCCATGAGAGAAAACCCTGGTCCTTTTGGTATCAGATGAGAGTAGGTACTCTACTAATGGAAGGATGCAGAATGTAAGACAGTAGTAGTTAATGTAACTATTTTCAGGGTTCCCATCAATGAGTTTTCTGTCTACAACTGTATGCAGACGATTCTGTCCTTTGCATCAACAATAACAACAACATCAACGGCATCAACAATGACAACCACAACAATAACAACAACAACAACAACAACAACAAGCAGCTCCACGCAGCCACACCAACAGGAAATAAATAAAAACAAAATAAAACAGAGAGCTACCTGGCCTCCCCCGGCAGGTTGAAGATGGTTTGGTCCAGACTGAAGGCAGCAGGAGTCTGGATGGGGGTCAAAATGGGATGGTACGGTCCAGCGGGGGGGGAGCTGGGCTGAGAGTGAGACAGCCTGAGGACAGACTGACAGAGAGATAGACAGGTGAGTGGGTATGAACAGGTTGTGTTTGGCTCAGTTATTCCAGTAGTTGCGTGTCAGTACCCGTCCTGCAGCATCAACGTCTAATCGTAGAGGAGGAGGGACATTTCGTGGGCGGGGCGAAGGAGGTGGAGGTTTGGAGTCAAATCCATGTACTCCTATTGGCTCCTTGCAGTCCAGGAGCCGGATGTTGATTGGCTCTTGGTGTGTTGGTGAGGGCGGCCCACTGCGCAGTACAAGACCCGCCCCCTCCCTGCCTCTAAGTGGGTGAGCCAACAGGTGGGCGGTGTCCTGGGAGTGGACTCCGCCTCTGTCTATGTCACAGCCAATCATCTCCAGGGATTCGAGCGAATGGGCGTGTCTCATTGTGTCCATCACCCGCCTGAACCCCACCCCTTCCTGACGCTCCATAAAGTCCATGCACGTCCATCGACCACGCCGATACGGCTCACCCCGCCCACCGCCACCAACCCCTCCCACTACCAACCGAACCACCCTGAACCTGGAGGAACAGCCACCCTGCCCCGAAGCATCATGGGAGATGTATTTCCTTTTCAGAGAGGGTGTGGTCGGCTGGGAGGAGCTTCCCTGCAGGGTGGAGGAGGAGACTGCTGATTGGAGGACATTCAGGACCACGCTGGGAGCTGATTGGGCGGCTGGAGTTTGATTGAAGTCTGAGGTCACACTGGTGATCTGGAAGCCACTCCTTTTTTTACCGCCGCTCATCCTCACACACACACACACACACACACTACGGACTCACTGAAACACAAAGAATACAACATGTTAACGTGATGAAGACGTTTCAACAGGGCTGTAGCTGTAACCAGAATAATGAAACACAGCAAGAAACCAACAGCAGCGGATGGCGAGCAACCGCCACAACTGCACGTAACGCCACATAATCCCAATATGTTCTGAGTTTGTTTTTTAAGATGGGAAATTGCCTCAGAGCGCTGTCTGGGAGGCATTGATATACTGATATACAATATCCCACAATTCACAGCCACGTTTACAATAAAACACGGGTTTAAGTCAAAGACTGGTTCACTAATTTTCCCAAATGTACATCCTGCAGCTCGTCAGTGTTTCAGTTTAGTTCTGAGGAGATGTCCTAAACCAGTGCAGGGGAAATTCCTTCACAGCAACAGCCCTATGTTTCACTGACTTGAAGACACATTTTATGTTGTGCTCATGGCTGAAAATTCAGTTTAAATAACTGAAAGCAAACACCAGATCTCATGGAATAAATAAAATAATAAAAATTATTAATTAATATAAAAAAAAAAGCATCAAGAACAGCAACTGAACCAGAACACTTGTCTGCATGTTTATGGTCTCCTCTGGTAGCTAAGACGTGAGTAAGCCTGTTAATATTATTATCCCAGAAGAATGGTTCAATCGGTGGATTTGACATTGTCCCCCTGGTATTTAATTTATATTGTGATGTTTTACATTTAATTGTTGATATTTTATTAATTTTTAGCATTGTATAATTTGATTTATTATAGTTTCAGTTTTGTTGTAAAGCATGTGTGTATAAAAGATTTTGTATGAATAATGTTGAGTTCATTTTTATCCTCACTAGTAGGTGTGACAATTTGTCACAGAAATGGATAAGAACCTCACAGTAACCAGTAATGTGCTGGTGGGAGGCCGAGGGAACTGTCTATGGCTAAAAATAGTACAAGTAACCTCAAGAAACACCTGGAGAGAGTGCACAGCAACCTTAAGCTAGCAGCTAAACGACCTCTTAGCAAACAGGTGGAAGATGACGGTCCAACGAAAGTTGGATTTCTCCAGACCAGAGGTGAAGATGCTTGACCCAGGAGAAGTGAGAAGGCTGGTGGCTGAGTATGTTGTGGAGGATGCCCTGCCTCTTTCTACAGTTGAGTTGCTGGCGTTTCAAAAGCTTGTCAGCAAAATCCCTGTTCGATCAAGTGACAAGGTAAAAACAAATCTCTAATGATATAGTCCTATTGTTAAAGTATAAACACATTTCCACAGATAGTTCATTTAAGATGAGACACTACAGGTGGTGTGAGAGGTGATTCAATGATTAAAAAGTGTTTTAATTTGTTAAGTCAGTTTGTTTGCAGAGGGATTTTAATGGTTGTTATTGTCACATCATCTCAGAATACTTTAACAGTTAAGTAAAACAATAAATAATACATCTCCATGTTTTACAATACTCATAAATGAGACTGTGCACTTTTATTTTATTATTGAAATAGTATAGACTATTAACATGTTTAATTTCATGGAAATTTAACTTTTTTGTTAAATCTTTGTGTGGCCGCACTTTGTAACTCAGGAGCTAATAAATGAGGCATAGAAAAAGAGTTTGTGTCATGTTGTGTAAAGCTTTTGGTTGTTTAATTATTCTATATCATTACATTATTGTAATTCAGCTATTCATGGTAACCACTACTTGCAGATGCAATATAGACCTCATTAGACTTTAATGTTGCCCCCCCTCACTATATTTATGAGGAACTACAGTTAATTGAGGACTATTCACCATGACAAAATATTGCGCGCCTTCATTTTGTAATGCCTTGTCCTAAATGTTTATTTTGGTGAAAGTAACTAAAAAGTAATGAGTAACTTATTACTCTACACAGAAGGTAATATTGTAAAGAAATGTATTACTTTCAAATGCAAGTAACTAGTAATATGAAATATATTACATTTTGGAAGTAACTTGCTCACCACTGAAACTGAGTGAACAGTTTAATGCTGTTTCAGAGGACATCGCTCACCACATTGTTACAGATACTGAGAGCTTTGTGATAACGGGGTCAGGAGTGTACGCTCTGTCTGTAACTACAAAGAGAGCAAAACAGCACTGACGGCTGTCGACTGTAAACAGATTGTCTTCAGAATATTCTGGATCCATTAGCTGACTCTGTCGGACTGGGAGCTCCCAGTGAACAGTAGGTCTAAACCCTGACATTAACCTAGACCAGGTCTAAACCCCTACATTAACCCAGACCAGGTCAAAACCCTGATAGTAACACAAGATCAGGTCTCTGACAGGTTTACATTAAGGTCCTCACAGTGTGAGTGTACAGTCAGGTCTAACATTCCCATAATCCACAATAACAAACACAGCAGGGACTGCAGTCTGTCTTACAGCTGAACTTTAAAACAGTATAAAGTTATTAAGTTAAAGTCTGTCTCACCACACATCCTGTCTGTCTGTCTCTCTCTCTCCCTCCCCTCGTTATGGTCAGTGTCTCTCGCCCTGCAGCTTTCGTCTCTAACTCATTTTCTTCTGTGTTTCCTGTTTCCTCCGACTGACTGTGTTCTGTTGATGGTTGCTTCATTCTGCTGCTTGTTGCACAACCTGGATTAATGTGTGTGTGTGTTGTGTGTGTGTGTGTGTGTGTGTGTGTGTGTGTGTGTGTGTGTGTGTGTGTGTGTGTGTGTGTGTGTGTGTGTGTTTGAGTGTGTGTGTGTGTGTGTGTGTGTGTGTGTGTGTGTGTGTGTGTGTGTGTGTGTGTGTGTGTGTGTGTGTGTGTGTGTGTGTGTGTGTGAGAGTGCAGTTCAGGTTCTGCAGGATCTTAACTATTGAAACCACACTACTACTACTCTGAGTATTTGTACAGTTTGATATAATGTCTGAATGCTGATTGGTCAGATGATGACAGCAGGTTTAAACCACAGCTGACTTCCTGCCAACCCAGAGTGCTTTTATTAACTGCATATATACTACCTTTATATTTATATATACATCATTTATTGTGTATTTATTTTAACTGTCATTAAACTGTAGTTAACAGCGCCACCAGTGGCCGTTCAGTGAAGTGTAGTCAGCGTCGACCAACAGAGACAAACACTGAACGCTGTAAAATAACTGACAATCATATTTAAAATAACGTTACTATCTGCAATGTACTATATTTGGTCCGTTAGCTCCATACTACTAACTAGCTCACTGTTAGAAATCCACCCATCACCAACATCACCAACCAACACCAGACCCACACCACACAGCCAAGACACAGCCAGCCGGACAACCCCAGTTAGCTTAGCTACAGTTAGCTAGTTGGATCACTCCGTAGAAAGCTATCGTTAGCTTCGTACCACTACATAATTTATTGTTGGCTAAAATCAACACTGTTTGTCAGAATACATAAGTTAGCATCGTTGCTCATGTTAGCAAGCAAGCTAACATTATCCATCTAACAGCACAATCAGACAATATGTTCCACTAGCTTAGCAATAATGTTGAATTGACTTTGGACTTTTGTGGACTCTGTGTTGGACTCTGTGTTGTGGACTCTGTGTTGTGGACTCTGTGTTGTGGACTCTGTGTTGTAGACTCTGTGTTGGACTCTGTGTTGTGGACTCTGTGTTGGACTCTGTGTTGGACTCTTGTTGTGGACTCTGTGTTGTGGACTCTATGTTGTGGACTCTGTGTTGGACTCTGTGTTGTGGACTCTGTGTTGGACTCTGTGTTGGACTCTGTGTTGTGGACTCTGTGTTGTGGACTCTGTGCTGTGGACTCTGTGTTTGGATTTGGACTCTGTGTTGTGGACTCTGTGTTGTGGACTCTTTTGGACTCTGTGTTGGACTTGTTGTGGACTCTGTGTTGGACTCTGTGTTGTGGACTCTGTGTTGTGGACTCTGTGTTGGACTCTGTGTTGGACTCTGTGTTGTGGACTCTGTGTTGTGGACTCTGTGTTGAACTCTGTGTTGGACTCTGTGTTGTGGACTCTGTGTTGGACTCTGTGTTGGACTCTGTGTTGTGGACTCTGTGTTGGACTCTGTGTTGTGGACTCTGTGTTGTGACTCTGTGTTGGACTCTGTGTTGTGACTCTGTGTTGGACTCTGTGTTGTGGACTCTGTTTGTGTGGACTCTGTGTTGTGGACTCTGTGTTGTGGACTCTGTGTTGTGGACTCTGTGTTATTGTGGACTCTGTGTTGTGGACTCTGTGTTTGGACTCTGTGTTGTGGACTCTGTGTTGGACTCTGTGTTGGACTCTGTGTTGTGGACTCTGTGTTGTGGACTCTGTGTTGGACTCTGTGTTGTGGACTCTGTGTTGGACTCTGTGTTGTGGACTCTGTGTGGTGGACTCTGTGTTGGACTCTGTGTTGTCCACTGTTGGCACTCGGGAGCATAAAGGTCACAACCTTTGACCCTCATCCTACATAGAGACACATAGAGATCAGTCCACAGACAGCAGAGGGACAAAGCTCCACTACAACCTGTTCACTCTCTGCTGATCAATAATCTGATCAATAATCTGATTGTTATGGAGACAGAACAGGATTCACAGTCTGACATGTGGGAGCTTTACAATGATGCTTTATCAGAAAATAAAGAGGTGACAGTAAATGAGACGGAGTTGTGGAACTACGACCAGGACGTTGTTGATTTGGTTTCTGTTTCCTGTCAGTCAGAAACGTTTGTTATATTATACGTTTCTGACCTTTTATACTGAAGTCTACAGGGTCTCTCACCCACAAAGCCACGGGTGTACCTGGATGTGTCAGTACATCTACAGCTGGCACACCCAGCGTAAACACTATGAGTTCGTTCCAATTAAAAAAATGTCTTAATATTATTTTCACAATTGAAATTAATTGGAAAAGTAATGGACTGAGGGAATCACTGCAGCATTACAAAATATTATTGTTATTATCATTATCATTATTATTATTAGTAATAGTATATTATATATTATTTTATTGTTATTATTATTGTTGTATTATTAGTGTAATTATATTATATTGTATATTATGTTATTGTTATTATTATTATATTATTATTAGTGTAATTATATTATATTATATTTTATTTTACTGTTATTATTATTATATTATATTATATTATATATTATGTTATTGTTATTATTATTATATTATCATTAGTGTAATTATATCATATTATATGTTATGTTATTGTTATTATTATTATATTATTATTAGTGTAATTATATTATATTATATTTTATTTTACCGTTATTATTATTATATTATATTATATTATATTATATATTATGTTATTGTTATTATTATTATTATTATTATATTATCATTAGTGTAATTATATCATATTATATGTTATGTTATTGTTATTATTATTATATTATTATTAGTGTAATTATATTATATTATATTTTATTTTACTGTTATTGTTATTATTATTATTATTATATTATCATTAGTGTAATTATATCATATTATATGTTATGTTATTGTTATTATTATTATATTATTATTAGTGTAATTATATTATATTATATTTTATTTTACTGTTATTATTATTATATTATATTATATATTATGTTATTGTTATTATTATTATTATTATTATTATTATTATTATATTATCATTAGTGTAATTATATCATATTATATGTTATGTTATTGTTATTATTATTATATTAATATTAATGTAATTATATTATATTATATATTATTTTACTGTTATTATTATTATATTATATATTATGTTATTGTTATTATTTTTATTATATTATTATTAGTGTAATTATATTGTATTATATATTATTATATTATATATTATGTTATTGTTATTATTTTTATTATATTATTATTAGTGTAATTATATTGTATTATATATTATTATATTATATATTATTTTACTGTTATTATATTATTATAAGTGTAATTATATCATATTATATATTATTTTATTGTTGTTATTATTATTATATTATTATTAGTGTAATCGTTATATTATAAATTATGTTATTGTTATTATTTTTATTATATTATTATTAGTGTAATTATATTATATTATATATTATTATATTATATATTATTTTACTGTTATTATTATATTATAGTATATCATATTATATATTATGTTATTATTGTTTCACACTTTACAAACAAACTAAATAAACAACGGCTGTGGCTCAGAGGCAGAGCGGGTCGTTCCCGGTGCCGTGCATCAGTGTGTGAGTGTGTATGAATGTTAGTTTCTGTTCGATGGACTTTACCATCACTGAGTAAATGTGTGTGAAAGGGTGAATGTGTGTGAAAGGGTGAATGTGTGTGAAAGGGTGAAAGGGTGAATGTGTGTGAAAGGGTGAAAGTGTGTGAAAGGGTGAATGTGTGTGTGAAAGAGTGAATGTGTGTGAAAGGGTGAATGTGTGTGAAAGGGTGAAAGGGTGAATGTGTGTGAAAGAGTGAATGTGTGTGAAAGGGTGAAAGTGTGTGAAAATTTATAATTCACTGAATGTGTGTGTGTGTGAAAGGGTGAGTGTGTGTGAAAGGGTGAATGTGTGTGAAAGGGTGAATGTGTGTGAAAGAGTGAATGTGTGTGTGTGAAAGAGTGAGTGTGTGTGAAAGAGTGAGTGTGTGTGAAAGAGTGAATGTGTGTGTGTGAAAGGGTGAGAACAGCTCCATTTACCATTTACAACAACCGTCTGACGTCATGGTTGTAAACACTCACGTTCATGCGCTCAGCTGAGGCGCGCTCCCGCAGCCCCCCCTCCCTCCGGTCCCGTTGACGTCACCGCCGGTCCCGGTGACACAACCGATCCATTGTACCCGGAAGAGGAAAAAACACAACAGCTGTGGACAGAGCATGCGCAGTACGGCCCGAGAGCAGCCGCAGGCGGCGGGAGCGCGCGCAGAGTTTGCGGAGAGAAAAGTTTCAACAGGAAGTCCTCCGACTTCTTCTTCTGCTGCTTTTATTGTTACAGTCCATCAGAGAGCTTCTTCTTCTGCTGCTTTTATTGTTACAGTCCATCAGAGAGACACAAAGCGCGGGAACTTTCTTCTTCTCCTCCCAACTCTCTTCATCCTCCTCTGGCTGCAAACAGCGCGAGACTGCACAGCAGCCAATCAACGGCCGGAGCGCCGCGTCACCAGCAGCGTCACCAGCAGCGTCATCAACTTCATATGTCCGGATTCCGTGAACGAGCAGAGCGCGTGCACGTGAGAGAGTCCGATGGGAGGAGCCTCAGTGGTTAATAAAGTTTATCGACATTCAAACTCCTTATGAACAATATTTAATGATTATTGATCAGTTGAATTAATTTGGTTCATTCTTTATATTGATCCTGTTTTTACTGATATGTTATCATTATTATCACATATATATATATAATTATCATATTAGGATTGATTACTGTGTATTGTGTTATTGATAATTCTCTGTCGTCAATACTTTTCACTCAGTGTGATATAAGACTCTTAATAACTGTTGAAGCCTCTCTCTTGAAGCCTCTGTTTCTATACAGGTACTAGTGGTAGCGCTGCAACCTAAAATGTTTCAATAATATGTTCAATAGAACCACTTTTTATATTCAATATTCCTATTTTCAATGTGATCGTTTACTATCAGCTGCTAGAGAAGGAGCAGAAGGATGGTGTTTGTTCACCGAGAGCAGGAAGTCAGTCTCATAATACTGTAGTTATATTACTGTACAAATAAAACTGTAATAATACTGTAATAATACTGTAGTTATAATACTGTAGTAATAAAACTGTAATAATACTGTAGTTGTAATTTAATATTTTATAATATTTAATAAAAATAAAAAAAATAAAAAAAAAAAAAAAAAAATAAAAAATATAAATAAAAAAAAAAAAAAAATAAAAAAATAAAAAAAATATAAAAAAAAAAAAAATAAAAATAAAAATATATAAAAAATAAAAAAAAAAACTGTAATAATACTGTAGTTGTAATACTGTAATAATACTGTAGTTATAATAATGTAGTTATAATACTCGACATCCTCCGTGAAACTGGACTACTTCGCCGTCCTCCACACAGAGGCTCTGGTCGTATGTTCATTTACAACTGTTCAACTCCTAACTCTATCCCGTCCATCTGGTCCTGCTCACGCACCGCAACTTCCTCATTACATCATCACAACAAACGACATGTGCACCTATCTAATCTCCGCCCCCTTTCTCGGTCCTCTCAACCCTTCACGAAGCAACGTCACCTGAAACTGGCTTTGCTCAACACCCGCTCATTTAACAATAAAAGTCTCATTCTGAATGAATTCATAACCGCCAATAATCTGGATTTCCTCTGTGTCACTGAAACCTGGCACAAGCCTCTGGACTACTTTTTGCTCAACCAGACCACACCCACCAGATACACTTACATTGACAAACCCCGACCTGAGGGGCGGGGAGGTGGTGTAGCAGCAATCTACAGGAAGGACATCAAAACATCCACCATCTCCATCCCTGCTGCTCACTCCTTTGAACACCTCACTTTCAAACTCTCTGGTCCCACTTCTCTGGTCACTGCCATCATCTACCGCCCCCCCAAACTAAACCCTTCCTTTCTCTCCGACTTCTCTGACCTTCTAACTCAGTTATCTGCCATCTCACCTTCTGTTCTTCATCTGGGAGATTTCAACATCCACATTGACACTGACTGCAAATCTGCCACTGAATTCCTGGAACTACTACACTGCTTCAACTTCACCCAACATGTCAACTTTCCCACCCACAGCCGTGGTCACATCCTGGATCTGGTCTGCTCCACTGGTCTCACCATACCTCACCTCTTCAGCTTCAACCTCAACATCTCCGACCACCTGGCAATCATCACGGACATTGACATCCCCATTCCCACCATTAAGGATAAACGGACAATATCCTTCAGAAACCTCAAATCCATCTCCCCTTCAGCTCTTTCTGCTTCTCTTGCAAGTAAAATATCCTCCTCCCCCCCACCGCTGACTGACAACCCCTCTGAACTCTACAACGAAACACTCTCCTCCTGTCTCAATCAGCTGGCCCCCATTAAAACCAAAACCGTCTCATTCACCCACTCTGCCCCCTGGTACACTCCTGAACTGTACAAAATGAAATCACGCAAACGACAGCTTGAAAGACTTTACAAGAAAACCGGTTTAACTGTTCATCTCCAAACTTTTACAGATTACCTCCTGCAGTACAAGGATGCCCTCAACACCATCTGGTCCACCTACTACTCTCACCTCATACACGCTGGCTCCACCAACCCCAAGTCTCTGTTTTCTACAGTAAATAAACTCCTCAAGCCCAGCAACAATACCTCCAAGTCATTCACCACTGACAAATGCAAAAAAATCATTCTTTCAATCAAAAATCGACACCATTTATAACAACCTGTCCTCCGCTCCTGCCCCAACAGTCTGCAATCCCACTCCTTCATCTGCTCCCCCCCCCCATCACCTCTCAGCCTCTGTCTCAGTTCTGCCCCGTGTCACCAGGGGAGCTGCCCAAAATTATGACAGGCATGAAAACCTCTACATGTGTCCTGGATCCTATCCCATCTCACCTCATCAAGGACTCTCTACCAGCCATCTCCACACTCATCACAGAAATCATCAACTCCTCCCTCACGTCTGGCTCAGTCCCCCGTTCACTCAAACTGGCTGCTGTCACCCCCATCCTCAAAAAACCTGGACTCAACCCTGACATCATGTCAAACTTTCGGCCCATCTCCAATCTTCCCTTTCTGTCCAAAATACTGGAACGTATTGTCGCCACACAACTCAAAACCCACCTCTGCTCAAATGAACTGTTCGAACCATTTCAATCCGGTTTCCGCTCCCAACACAGCACTGAAACAGCCCTCCTGAAAGTCACCAACGATATCCTCCTCTCCGCTGACTCCGGCCACCTCACCATCCTTATCCTCCTGGACCTCACCGCAGCCTTTGACACCATCAACCATACCATTCTCCTCTCCCGCCTTGAGTCATCTCTCAGCATCACTGGCACTGCACTCTCCTGGCTCAAATCTTACCTCACAGACCGACAACAATTCATCCATATCAACAACTGCACCTCCTCCACTGCTCCCCTGTCCCAAGGCATCCCCCAGGGTTCGGTGCTTGGTCCTCTCCTCTTCATACTTTACCTGCTCCCCATTGGCAACATCATTCGCCACCATGGTCTCCACTTCCACTGTTATGCCGATGACGTCCAGCTTTATATCTCTACCAAATCCATCACCCCGGCCACTCACTCCACTCTCTCCAACTGCCTCACCGACATCAAATCCTGGATGCATTCCAACTTCCTCAAACTCAACTGTGACAAATCAGACCTTATCATTATCGGCCCCAAATCCCTCACCAAAACCACAGACAGTTTCCACCTCACCATTGATAGCTCCACCCTGTCTCCATCCCCCCACAGTCGCAACCTCGGAGTCATCTTTGACAATAACCTCTCCTTTGAACATCACATAAACCAAATAACCAGAACTGCCTTCTTCCATCTCAAGAACATTGCCCGTCTTCGCCCATCACTCTCCTTCTCTGCTGCTGAAACCCTCATCGACGCCTTCATCACCTCCAGAATCGACTACTGCAACAGCATCCTCTATGGCACACCATCCAAAACTCTAAATAAGCTACAGTACATCCAAAACTCCGCTGCACGTATGCTCACCCACACCCGCACCCGTGATCACATCACTCCTGTCCTCCAGAACCTCCACTGTCTCCCAGTTCCACAGCGCATTCATTTCAAAATCCTCCTCCTTACACACAAAGCCCTCCATAACCAGGCTCCTTCCTACCTCATTGACCTGCTCCATCGCCACAATCCATCCCGTAGCCTCCGCTCATCTGAAGCAAACCTCCTGACTCCTCCACCCCGGACGACAGAGCCTTCTCTGTAGCTGCCCCCTCCCTCTGGAACTCTCTCCCCAAACACATCCGTGACTGTACCGACCTTCCAACATTCAAATCACAGACAAAAACACACCTTTTTAAAATTGCTTTTAATGTTTAGCTTAGTCTGATGTGTTTTTAATGTTTTACTATTTGATGTTGTTTTGCTGCTTTTATGTTTTTATGTAAAGTGTCTTTGAGTATTTAGAAAAGCGCTTATAAATAAAATGTATTATTATTGTTATTATTACCTTTCTAACCGTGTATCGTTTTAACCATTTACTTTTGCTCGGTCTTTACTAGAGTCGGTAAAAGGATGCTAACGCCGGTGATTTAGCCGTGAGCTGCTGGTGTCCCCAGTCTAACGGCAGCGTCCGCTCGCTGTAAACATTGAACACTGCTGGTGTTATGGGGGTATTAAGTTGTTCCTGAGTCTGACAAACTAACATCAACTCATCTGGGATCGTACTTTCCTCCTTCAAAATAAGATACAATGCTTTAACAACTCTAATTTATGCAGTTATACTGCTATACCGCCACCTACTGGATATTTTGTTAAACACTTCTCATTTCAATCACTTGTAAAATACAAGCTGATGCATTTAATTTAGCAATTACAGACACATATGCTGTATGCACATAAAACAATTACCTGTAATAGACTCAGTGCAGAGTTAGTATGTAGCATAATATAACAAATAAATGTTCATACATAATGAGGAAGAAAATTGCAGCCGGCTCGACTACCCCCTACTGCCACCTAAACTACCACCCTAAACCTCTCACCATCATGGTGGTTCCAAACACCTTAAAGTGGTGTCTTGAAGGAAAGGGCAACATTCACTTGGGAACATCCAAGTGTGACTCCACATACACTTCATCAGAAGGACAGATTTCAGAGTCCAAAAGGACAACTACAATAATTTTGTTACTATGATCAATCACTGCTCTGTACCATTACCAAAGGGTGTATACTGGATTTGTGGAATGAATGCTTATGAGTATTTACCGAAAGGATGGTCTGGAGTATGCGGTCTAGGTCATGTCATACCAGCCATGAGAGTCCTTGCTATACCACCTGAGGTTCACATAGTTAAAAGAGACTTATACACACACACTCAAACACCATGGACAAGATTTTAGTGCTCTCCTTCCAAATTATAGAGTCATAGCAACTTTGGATCAGATAAGGGACCTTTCTCATGCCGT